AAAGGGGGCAACGAAAATAAACAACTTTTCACAGCCCAGAAGAATATGACATTAAACTGCCATTCACTGTAGCTCAGAATTGTTTAACAATTCAATAGTCACGTCTTACATTTCATGCAACTAAAATAAGCATTTTAGAAAATGGCATTTAATTTAAATATTTTGTAAGGATACCAAGTGTTCATTTTGATAACATAAAACTCAATGTCAGCATCGGACATGCTCCTGCAAAGGCACAGGGCAGCAGAACCCAGCAGTTACCCAAGAGATTTACCTCCCCCAAAAGACTGAAGGCAGAGGGGAGCAAACCACCCAACACATCTAATTTTGTAAGGTAACAGGGCTTATACCTAGATCTTCAAGCAGAATACTCAACATCTTCCCAGGGACTTGTGCAGGAAGCAGGCACCAAGAGCTTTAAGAGAATACATGACCAGATCCTCTACATCTGTTTGTGTGAGTCCCTAAAACTGGCCTATATGGCACCACACCGTTCATATTCACTGTTCATACTCCCCCAGCACCACTGTGCAAGTGGTGGAACCATTCCCACAGCTGTGCAAGGCTCCAGCCATCTAACAAAGTGACAAGTGAGGTGCCCTGTCTGTGTGCCTCCTGGAATCAGGCACCGAGGTTGGGTTCCCTTACATATGAGAAGGAAGGGGGGCAGTATTTGGGGCCCCATTTTGGGTTGTATCAAAATTAGTTGTACACTAAAAAGCATATTAAAGAAATACACTTATTTGTATTTTAGAACGGAATGGGAGTGATGATGGCTCGTTAATGATCTTGCCTTTCATCCAGACGATTCCTAACCATTTCCTCACAGTAGGGCTAGAGTCTTACACCACAGAGCACACACTGACTCCAGGAGTCCTCCTTGGCTTGGTGTGCCTTCCTTCTTCCTCTCCTTCCCTCTCCATCCGTCCATCTGTCCATCCATCCATCCACCCACCCACCCACAAGAACCTAGAATTCAGAAGCATGATGATCATTATACGATACTTAATAAGACACTTATTGAACTGAAAACATTATCAAACCTTTACTGGGAGAAAGCAAGTGTATGTGTGGGGGTAACTGGTTTGACAAGCTGGCTTTGCCAACTAGATTATGCAGCAGTTTGCGTACATGAATGAGCTCTGTTAGCAGCTCTGTTGATGCAATATGTATGCATGCATGTATGCATGTGTATGTATAAGTATTATAAAGAATAACTTAATAAAGGCGCTAACTGATGAGTCTATTTTATTTTATTTTGGGAATATTTAATGTTTACTGATGCATCTCTGATTATTTTTATTTTTGGAATACTTTGAGTTAAACAGATCTGTCTCATCATAGCAGGAGAACAGGCTTAATAAACAAATGTTGGAGAGGTTTTGGTATAGTCTTCCGAGAAACTGGGAAAAAAAAAAAAAAACCTCTAAAGGCTGAACAGGTCAGGCAATTTTCATTACTTTAATTTCAACATGAGTGAGGAGTTGTCCTTTTTCTGCACAGAACTCAGAAGGAATTCAAAGAGGTAATATTACTATAACAATATTCTACCATCCATGAATTTATTCATGAGGTTTCAGTGCTTTTCTATCTAAAAATGAAAAGAGGCAATATAGGCCATACTGTTGAAATTTCTCATTCCAGAAATAGTGTATTTGCTTATTTATTCAGAATCTTTTTTAAAGCCTATGAATTCCATTACAACTTGCACTTTCTACTTATTGATGAGTAATAATTAAAGTGGTAATGATTTATCATTTATATAGATCAACTTTGAGTTAATAACTGAAATAGGAACTTGGTTGGGGAAAAAATTCTTGTAACACTCAGCCTGGTGTGGTGGTGCACGCCTTTAATCCCAGCACTTGGGAGGCAGAGGCAGGCAGATCTCTGTGTCTTCAAGGCCAGCCTGCTCTACATAGTGAGTACCAGGCCAGCTAGGGCTACAGGGAGACCCTGTCTCAAAAAGACCACACTTATAAAAACCGGACGATGCCTTTGAATATATACGAAGAATCATAGGAATATAAGAATAATGTTACACAGTTGTATGATGAAAGACTTTCAAGTAGCTAAATCTATGACATCAGAATAAAAGGAAAGAGAACAGGGATAAAAAGGACAAATTGAAGAGGAAAAACAACGTGAAAATTCTAGCTATTAAAGAGCTATTGGTGTATTTAATGGACAAAGTAAGCTATAAAACCACTTCTAATTTAGGTGCCATTGGATACACTTAAAGAACAGACTTTTTTAAAATTAAAAAAAAAATTTTTATTACTTTTATTTTATGTGTATGAGTGTTATGCCTGCATGTAGGTAAGTGCACCGGTGTCATGCAATGCCCACGGAGGACAGAAGAGGCCGTCGGATCCCCTGGAACTGGAGTTATGGACAGTTGTTAGCTGCCTGTGGGTGCTGGGATTCAAACCCAGGTCTTCTGCAAGAACAGTCAGTGTTCTTAAGTGCTGAGCCGTCTCTCCAGTACCAAGAACAAATTCTTAAGTGCCAATGTTTACAACACACAATTCCTTTTCATAATTTTTGAGAAGTACAATATACCAAAGATCTTACTGAGATTTTTGAGAAAGTCATTAAACAAGTCCTGTTCGTCTTTCATATCAAGGCAATTACTTAACCCAAATACTCAAAAAAGACTTGGAAAAGTAAAATCTGCAACTGCCTCAAGAAAAATTTACATCACTTTAAAACTGTACAAGACAGTATGTAGTTTTACAACATTGTATTAAACACTTGATGGTCACTGATCTAAAGGGTGTTTTCTCTGGCAAGCAGGTTAACCTAGACCAATTCACTTCCTGGCTTTTGAAATTCCCAGGAATTGGAACTGTATTTTCAGGTCATTTCAGTGGATATTCCTGACCTCAAATGACAAAACCAATGAAATCTGAGCCCATGGTGTTGGGGTCCTTCCTACTCTCCCCAGCCCTGTTTGGGATGATATGATCCCAGGCTGTCTCTGGGTGTTACAGGGAGGCAGGCAGCCTCATGAATGAGCTCTTCCCTTCCTGAGCACTGCCTGGGAGCACTCCCTGACCTCAGCTTTTATGTCCTTGCTGTCTTTCTCTCTTTGATAGGACTTGGCTTAGGAAATACAGCAGTCCCTCTTTACCTGTGGGGTATGTGCTACCAACAGGTGCCTGAATCACAGACAGCACCCAATCCTATCATTTTATGCCTTTTCCACCATGACAAAGAAGTTACCATGCACTGCGGCCAGGCTTGTAGTGTGTGAGGTGGGACAGCATACCTTGCAAGAGTTTTTTCCCTTCTTTACAATTTCATGAATAGACGATCCATTCTCCCTCTACCTTTTTCTATTTTCATGTGTGTGTATATTTTGTAGTGCGCATTAGTATGTTTGCATGTGTGTGTGCACATAAGTACAAGTGCTTGTGGAGGCCTAAGGTTGAAGTCCAAAATTATCCTCAATCACTATTTCAACTTAGTCAATGAGGCAGATTCTCTCAATCAAACCCAGAGCTCTAGATATGGCTGGTCTCACTAGCGAGCTTGCACCTAAGAATCCTGTCTCCACCTTGTGAGGCTGGAATTATGGGCAGGCCACCATGCCCACCTGGTATTTATGAGGGTCCTGGGGGTCCGAACTCTGGTCCTCATGCTTGCACGAAAAGCTCTCAACCACCAAGCCATCTCCCCACCCCTCAGATCTGTTCTCACAGCAGAGCTCAGCAACTTGAACACAGCTTTTTTCTTTCTTTACTCATTGAGAACTGTCACCTTTTCACTTAAAGAAAGCACTCTGTGGCTTCCCTTTGGCATGTCTGAAATGCCAACAACAGGACTCTTGCCCCTTGGGGCCATTACTAAATAAAATAAGGGCTCCTTGAAAACCAGCACTGCCATACCTCAGAGATGAGGTGATAACCAAAATGGCTCAGTAACTAACAGCTAGGCAGCATGCAACACCCTGGCAAAGAGATGACCCACACCCTGGATGGGACAGAGTCAGGCTGTGTAAAATTCCATCACACCATGCAGAACAAACTGTGTGCAATTTAAAACTGGTGAATTGCTTATTTCTAGAATTTTCCATTTAATACTTTCAGATCATGGTTGACCAGGAGAAACTGAATCCCAGAAAATAAAACTGTGGATGGGGGTGGGGACTACACTAAAAGAGGTTAATGCTTCTGGTCCTCAGACAGCTGCTGCTGCTTGTTAGGGAGTTTCACACACTCCCCATCCATGCTCAAGGTTCCTCTGTGCCCCGCAGCTCTCCTTACAACAGAAAGCACTCCACAGACCCGTTAGGTGAGTGCTCTGGAGACTGGTCTCAGTTCTACCATTTATTGACCCATCACAGAAGCAAGTGATAAAAAAAAAAAAAAAAACCTCTTCGTGCCTCAGTTTCCCTACCTGCCAAATGGCAGTATCATGGGAACCATCTCCAAAGCATATATAAATGAAATGCAATGATACCAAGACTGGTATATTAGTTTAATAAATGAAGCTGTGCTTATTACTAAATGTCAAATTTAGAATTTTAAAAGTGAACTCAGGAAAGGACAAGAGGGAACTGAGCATAGCCAGCACTGCCCTCCACCCTAGGAGTGTCCTTGGAAGGTATAGGGGGCAGGAGGAGGCAGGCCACCCTGGTAGTGCCTGTCCCCAGCCACTTGAATTCTACCTTTCAACCATATTTGTTCCAAATTGGCACAAGCAAATCACCCCTGATGAGAACAGCCTCTTATTCCTAGGAACTGTCCCCCAAACACACAGATAGGTATTATAGGTGGGTGCCACCACTGCCAGGAGGCCTCCTAGAGATAAGAGGGTACACACCCAGGGACCCTACTACTGTCACGTACAGCTAGCAACATCCTGTGCATGCTCCACACACAGCACAAATCTCCTTTCCTGAATGTTCCCTCCCCATATGTGGGTGAAGAAGGTAGATGTGAGGCAAGCTTAAGAGGCTGAGGTGTCTGATGAATCTAGTAAAGAAGAAAACTTACCAGGGAAACTTTCGGCATGGCTTAGCATCAACTACATCTGTACTTGGAAAATCCTTTTCTCGCAGCTCTGAGGCATGGTCCTGATCATCCGCCATCTGGGAGAAAAATCAAACCAGAAAATTGAGATTCAAAATGGCATAACTTCCTTGTGATTTGTGTGTGTGTGTGTGTGTGTGTGTGTGTGTGGTTGTACATGTGTGTGCAAGTGGCCATACATGTTTGTGCATATGCACATGAAGGCCCAGAAGTCACCTTCAGATGCTGTTGCTAAGACGCTGTGCACTTTGTTTTTTTGAGACGGTATCTCATTGGTTGGCCTGGAACTCGCCAATTAAGTGAGTCTGGCTAGCCAGTGAGCCCTAGGGATCCCCGTCTCTCTCCCCAGTGCTGGGATTATAGGTGGGTGCCACCACTGCGTTTTTTATGTGGGTGCTGGGGATTGAACTCGGATCCTCATGTTTGTGCAGCAAATACTTTACCAACTAAGCCATCCTCCCAGCCCCTTGCTTTGTGATATTTTAAAATGGTACTTCCTAGGTGACATTTCCTAAGTGAGCAGTCTTGCGTATTTAAGCTTTACTTACTGCACCATCAGTGTAATAAAATGTACACGTGTCAACAATATCCCAGGCCTCATTCCAGAGACCCAGTAATTAACAGCAAAGAAACCAAAGCCCTTGACCTCAGAGAGCTTTGACTCCAGCACCCATGATCCTGGTAAATGTTCAGTCAGGGTTTGTAACAATCGTGGAGTCCCTAAATTCCAGAAGTCATACAGTGTTCATCTTTTGCTTGGTATTACTCAAGCACAGCTCGAAATCAGCATTAGCTTTGGGGCGTCAAGCTCTCTTCACTTTAGATGACTTTATGTGGTTCCATCCAAATAGACTTTTACAAATCATTTTCCTGTTCAAGAATCTTCAAGAGGCCTGGGGAGTCAGTAAAGTACAAGCTTGAAGAGCTGAGTTTGATTCCCAGAACCCACATGAAAGCTGGGCATGGTAGCTAGTGTTGTGACTCTAGTTCTAGTGATGCAGAGACAGGTGGATCCCTGAGACTCACTGGTCTGGCCTCGCTGAGTAGGTAAGTTCCAAGGTCAGTGAGAAATCCTGCCCCCAAAACAAGGTGGCGAGTCCCAAGGACTGACAACACAGATTGATCTCTGTCACACACTGCCCCCCCCGCCCCGCCGGCGACCCCTTCAGGAGATTCCCCATTATTTAAACATTCAGATCTTAATTATCTCCTTGGATTTTAAGGTCCCCTTCGTGACCTAGGACAGGTGTCAAACAGACTACATTCCACCACCACCTGTTTTTGTGAGACTTGTACTGAAACAGCCATTCATTTCTGTACTGTTTCTGTTTGTTTTAGATCTGTCAGCAGGCATAGACATATTACTACCTGGCTGTTTTTATTCCCTACTTGGCTCTCGTATTTGTCATTTATTTGTGTTCTACTAATTGCTTGGCTCCCGCAGGACAATACAAACTCACTGTGGTAGGGGCAGCTGGCATACAGAAGGTGCTTATTAAATAAGTATTGAGTGGAAGGCTGGAAGAAATGAATACCTCGCGGGAAAAGAATTGGCTAAACAAGACAGTTGGTCCAAGGAGAATCCCTATTGGAATCATTTCTCACAAATCAAGTCCTGTTTCATTCCTCATGAAAAGGGATACACTTTCGGCAAACCTGCCTGGGCTTCAGTTTTGACTTGGTCTCAGTCACTGAGCAAGCCTCAGCCATCAGATCCAATGTCTGCACACCTGCTACAGCTGGCCTAGGTGTGTTTTCACTTAGTTGGAAAAGAGGATAGCAACTATTCTATGGAACATCTTGGGCTGCAGAATACAACAAGGAATGACATTTGGAGGTGGAAGGAGGGACAGCCTCATGGTCTTAAGCTCTAAGTGGCACTGTGAGGTTACCCTGAAGCTAATGAAAGATGGGGGGGTGGGGGGGAGTGTGTGAGCATGGGGCAGTAAGGAGAGATGTGAGCGTCAGGAAGAGGCCCGAGGACACATTGTGGCCAGGGAAGTCTCATGGCACATCACAAGCCTCCCTACTATGGTCACCAACACGCTTCTGGTCAGGACACAGATTTTTCAGCTGAAGACCCCAAATGTTTCTTAACAGCAGAAATAATCCATTACAGAGGAGAGAAGCACGGGCCAGGCAGGCAAAAGACACTGAGCAGTTTCCGTTCCATCTTCACAGAGACCGCATTACTTTTAAAGTGGACTGTTACCAGCAAAGCAGACACTTGAATATTTTCAAAAATCAGTAAGTCAAAGTTTTATAAAAATCCACCAGAAAAAGACACTATCTTCAACATGCAGTGTTGAGCCTTGACCCTTTGAATCTTTTTAAAATTCATACAGCAAGGAGACAAGAGGAAAGAGGGAGAGGGAGCTAGAGAGAGAGAAAGAGGGAGAGAGAAAAGGACTTCCAGAGAAAAAGAAAGCAAGAGAGACATACAAAGAAAGAGAGAGGGAGAGGGGAAGCCACAGCAAGGAATAGAGGGAGAGAGGGGGGAGGGGGAAGGTAAGAGAGAAGGAAAGAGGGAGAGAGAGAATGTCCTCTTCCTGGGGCGTACAGGAGTCTACTGGGATTCCAGCACAAAAATACATGCATGCAGTGGAGAGAGTAAGAAGAGTTTCATGTTCCCATCACCCTCGCCAAGGAGACCCAGCAAAATAAGAAATTTAACAGCAACTTCTGGGATGAAGGAAAAGTTGATGAACCCTGTATCTGCCAAAGGGTTAATTGCCAAAACAGAAAAGGAGCAATGCATGCAAAAAGCCAACTCAACAATAACGAGAATGGGTAAAAGACTTGGCTGTTTGGGATCTGGTATGCCCCTGCCTGCAAAGGCCCAGGGATGACAGGCTTGGTTTCCAGCATAATGCTACTAAGAGGCACTGGACCCAAGGTGAGGCCTAGTGGAGGTCTTCCATCACTGACACCATCCTCAAAGGAAACGATGAGACCCAAGGCACTTTTTCTTCTCTTTTACTTCCAAGTCATGAAGTGAATACCCCACCATTATGACTTACGTATAAAATGTTCCCCCGAAACAGGCTATGTGTTGGTTGCATCCCAGCTGGAGGGATGAGGGAAACTTTATGAGGTGGGGTTAGCTGGAGAAGTGGGTCACTAGGAGTGTTTCCCTGAAGGGTACTGTGCCCTGGATCCTTCTTGTCACACTCTCTCTGCTTCCTGTGGGCCATGAGGTAAGCAGTTTTGCTCTACCGTACAATCCTGCCACATGATGCTCTATCTCACTGCATGCCCACAGCCATGAAGCCAGACAAATGTGGGAGAGCCTTCTGAAATCAGGACCCCAAATAAATCTTTATAACTGACAAACTATTTTTATAAGTTGAATATCTCAGGTGTTTACTATCCTTATGGAAGGCTAAGGATACACGGACTTGAATAGACATTATTCTGAAGAAGATAAAAACAGATCAACCCTTCTAGCTGAGGAGTTATTGACAGTTGATGATGGCTAGGGGAGGGAGAGTAGTTTCATTAAGGGCATGGCCCCCTGGTAAGTTGACCATACTCCAGTGGATGGCCCCACACCCATATGATTATGGACAGCATTAATTAGACTCAGTGGATTACTAAAAATTTTTAAAAAGCTAGGTGGGATGGTGTACACCTCCTAGCACTCAGGAGGCAGAGGCAGGCGGATCTCTGTGAGATCAAGGCCAGCCTGGTCTATATAGCGAGTTCCAGTCTCAGCTGGGGCCACAGGGAAACCCTGTCTCAAAAAAACGGGAGCGGGATGTAAAAAAGGGGAGAACTGGGGAGTGAATGAGATCAAAATACATTGTATACCTGCATGAAATTCTCAAAATATATATGAGCTGAGGACTGAACCCAGGGCCCTGCCCTTACTAGGCAAGCGCTCTACCACTAAGCTAAATCCCCAACCCCTAAAAATATATTTTTTAAGTGGACTTTGAGTATTAAGAAAGCGCTCAATGTCACTAACCATCAAGGAAATGCAAATTGAAAGTGGAGTGGACTATCGCCCTGTATCTGTTAGGGTGTTTATTACTACATAAACAAGAGATAACTGGTGTTGGTGGCGATGCAGAAACAAGGGGTTCCCAGTCTACAGTTGGTGGGAATACAAACTGGTGCAGTAACCCTGGAAAACAAGATGAAGTTCCCTTTAGAAAATTCAAAATTGAAAGACCAAATAATCCTACAGACCCAGCTCTGGGTGCACATCCAAAGGTCATGAAATGAACATCTATCCCAAAGAGAGATCTGCATTTCCTACTCACTGAAGCATTCAAGAAGCCAAAAGGAGGGGTTTGAGTGCTGGAAGGCCTGTGGTCCCCTCCACCATGGTCAGAGGCAGTGGGAACCCAGTGGGAGGCTGCTAGGTCTGGCTGGGGCTGCTGTTACTGGAGGAGGTTAAGGCAGTTCTTGTGGGATCCTGAGTTAGTTCTCTGAGAGGAGTGTGGATATAAAAGAACAAACCTGGCCATGCCCTGGCTATTCAGCACTGCTGTTGATATGTGACCACTCCCACTGGCAAGCACTTGGGCTACTGAGATGCCATCTACCATGAGTTCTTCACCAGACCTACACTGATACTGAACTCATACTCTTGAATCACAACAAGTTAACTAAATCTCTTTATAAAGTTACCCAGCCTCAGTTATCTCATCATGGTAACAGAAAACCAATACTCTAAGTACTAACAATACGACACACATGGTAGGTCTCAGTTAGTTATTATTCTTAATATAATCTGCCAGAGCTCTGTTTGCCAACTGAGAGTTTAACCTATTACTCCTTTTTATGTTTTAATCATAGACAAGTGTAGGGTGCCCAATTAACATGTCTTTATAACTGGGACTTAGCAAATTGCTGAGCAAATGACAGAAACAAAGGGTCCAACAGGGTCCAGATGTGCAGCCCAGGTGTGGTCAGGGAGGGAGACCCTAGGGGGCCACCAGATGTGGGCTAAAAGCAGCTATTCCATGAATTAGCCACAGAACTTTTAAATACTGAACTTCTGAGCTCCAATGTCCTTGTCTGTAAAATGGGAAAGTAGAGGTGCTAAGTCACAGAAAGCCTGTGGGAATCAACGAAGCCATGCATTTAAAATGCTGATCATGCTGTGCCAATGTAAATAGTCTACAGTCTGTTAGCACCACCATCTCCAGGACTAAGAATACATCCCATGTAAATCTTCACCGCCATCTTAAAACCACATCTGTGTCTTAAACAGCTTGTTTGTAGGCTGAAAAATAGTCCTGGGGTGATTATTTCTTTTTACTTTCTTTGGGGTGCTGAGGATCGAACCCAAGGCCTTGGGAATGTTAGGCAACTACCCCCACCATTGAGCTATATCCTTAACTCCTGTAATGATTATTTCTAAACAGCTGGGTAGTGAATCACTTCCTGGTTATTGCCTAAACTTGTTTTGTGTGTGTGTGTGTGTGTGTGTGTGTGTGAGTAGGAAACAAACTTATTGCACCAGCTTCCCTAGCAAGGCGACATCATCCAATCTGCACTCACCTCTTGTGCAAATAAAGATATTCTCCTTAAAGTTCTGGGGCCTCCCCCTCTCCACACCACAGCATCACTGGGGGTTCACACTGCTAGGTAACTGGAGACTTTGCCCCTATCTTGCAGAAGACATTTCAGTTTCTTTAAGGAGCTTAATTACCTGTCCAAGGTTTATAGATGGCAGACCTAGGCCCTAACAGTAGGGAGGGGAAGGAAGGTCAGGCTAGCCAAACTGAAGGAGGAAATGCTCTGTAAACTACCCAGTTCGAGAGAAACGCCCTGGGTACAATTCATCAAGAACCACCTACACCCTCAAGTGATTTTACTTTTCCATAAACAGGAAAGCAAGGAGACCGAACCACCAAGTTTTTCAAGGTGCTTCCAGGAATCCCAACAATCAGAGTGGCCCAAGCAGACTTCGCCTAGCTGTGCACCCCAACTTTGCCCCCATCCCCGCCCCAGAATTCCCATTTAACAGACCAGGCACCCAAGGGGCTATGGAACCACAGCTGGCAGGCGACGTCTTGGGGATTAGAACCCGGACCCGTGTCTTCCCAGTGCCAATGACTTCGGCTGTTCTAATCCAGTTCTTCCTTCCCTGCTACATCCGGGATGGCTCGGCCTGTCGCGAGACCGAGACTTCAGGCTCGGACCACGAAGGGAATTGGGGGCGGGGGGGCAAGCTAAGCAAAGCCAGTGATGGAGGGGGGCGTGGGGTTCGGCTCAGCGAAGCCCCAGCGCCACCCGGGTTTCCCCCGAGTTTGGGTACCGGAGGGAGGGAGAACGGCGGGAGGGAGGATGTGCGGGAAGGGACGCCGGAGCCCGAGTTACCGTTCCCACGGTGGCGAGCCGGCCAGAGCTTGCAGCGGCGTCTGATCCTCAGCGACCGTCTAGGGCGGCTTCAGCCGAAGCGAAAGTAAAAGTCTCCACGGGGGAGGGGGAGGAGCCGGCCGGCCGGACGCTGAGGGACCGCGCGCGGCGCCCCAGGGACTGTAAACTGGGCCGGACCTGGGGCGCGCGGGTCTCCGAGGTTGAGCCGCGGGTCTCACCGGACAGTAGAACTGGCGGGGGGGAAAGTGGTCCAGGCCACCACGCGGCCCCGGCGCCGCGTGCAGTTTTGACTGCGCGCTTTGCAAAGCTGACTGCGTGCAAAGCAGCCAGAGCCGCTAAGAGCATGGTCCCGCCCTCCGCAAGGTGGCGGTGCGTGGGTGTCCGTGTCCCTCCCCCGTCCCGCGCGCTCTCCAGAGCTGCCACTCGGCAAAGGGTGCCCCCAGGTTACCGGGTTAATGTTTGCCTTTTGGCTGCGTGCTCTGCAAAGCTGACCCGGTGCCTGGTCCGGCCCTGGCAAAGTCAGCGGCGCGCATCACCCCGGCAGAGCGCGCCCTGCAGATCGCAACCAGCGCTACGTATGCAGTTTCCCGCGCTCACCTCACTGGAGAGCATGCTAAACAAAGTTTGCAAAGGTCCCCGGGAGTGCTCTGCTGCAGAACTGCCTGTGCTCAGATTGACCCAAAGAACGCGTCAGGCAAACTTGGGCGGCGCCGCGCTCATCTACCCCAGTCCGCCCCTCGACCTGCTACTACATACTGACTCAGTTTCCATAGCCAGAAGGCTCGTTCCCCTTGACCCCTTTCAGTACTGTTCGCATCCCCCAGGGCCTCTGTGTTACCTTTCCCCCAGGACGAGCCCTGGGGCCAACTGTAGGGTCGCCAGGGTCCAGTGACTTCTGAGACGTAGCTTCTACTCGTGCAGGCCTGGACCACTGACTTAACACTGAGTTCCCACCCGGCAACCCAGGCTTTACTGGATGTGGCGCTAGAATTATTCGAGAAATATTGGGCACCCCCCTGTGTCCGGTACTGGGGTGTGTGGTTAGTATTAATGGAGAAGACTGCACATCCACAGATTCCGGTTCACCTCCGCAACACACACACACACACACACACACACACACACACACACACACCACAAGCACACACAGTCTCACGCACAGTCTCACACAGTCTCACGCACGCACACACAGGCACGCACATGCACATACAGAGGCTCTTTCACACACACAAGCACATGCACACACATAGGCTCTCACATGGACACACAAGCACACACACACTCGCACAGGGGCATGGACAAACGTTCACTTCGGCTTGGAAGCCTTCTGATGCCTTCCCTGTCCCTGAGTCCTCAGAACAACAGATTCACACCGAGGCTAAATATCTGAGAAGCAACTGCAGTTTTGGACATACCAGAGATATTTGGTTCTAAGATCTATACACCACAGCCCATTTTATTTTTATTTGTTTGTTTTCTCTTGAGCGTGAGAACCTCAACACTCTACTCAGTAGGCAAGGACACTTTCTTGATGTTATGAAAGACTGGCTCCAGGCAAGTGTGAGGGAATACTTATAATTAACTGACATTCTTAATATGGCTGCCCTAGATTTTATTTAATGCCCGGGTCCCTGAACTGTTTGGAGTAAATGTTGGGGCAAACTATGACATACACTAAGATGATATGCTTTAAATTTTTTAAAATGTATTTTAATTAATTTTAAGTGTGTGTGTATGTGTGCGCACACCTGTAGGTGCCCTCAGAAGACAGAGGCATCGAATCCCCTGGAGCTGCAGTTACAGGTGGTTATGAGCCACCAGATGTGAGTGCCAGGACCCTAACTGAGGTCCTCTGCAAGAGCAGTAATGCTTTTAACTGTTGAGCCATCCATCTAGCCCAATAACTTGCTTTTTAAGGGAATGCAACTGGGAATCATTTGAAAACTGAAGAATCTCATTAAGCAACGCTATTCCCTGATTTATCTAACTTGTAAACCTAGAGTTCTGCAGGCTATCCCAGAGACACGTAGAGACAATGCTAGGAGCTGAAAGGGGCTTCGGCAACCAGTATCTGCTCATTGGTGATAAAGAATTGGAGGCTTTGAGAAGTTGCTCCAGCTTGCTAGAGATTGGAGCCAGGATCCTGTTGTCTAGAAAGACAATGGAGTTTCCATTCACAAGAAGGCTCCCCCAGAAGTGAGAGTGAGCAAGTGTTATGACACATGGGCACACAGGATCTGTACCTGGCTCAGATGGAGAGGTGCTGTGAAAGGAAATCATTGTTTCCCAGTTCTTTATTGTGCCCTGGTGTGAGCATCTCCACAGTTATTGCTCCCAGGCTGGATTATCACAGTATCAACAGCTAAAACTGTGGAAACGTGGAAGGGAGAAAAACAGTGTGGTCATCCCCTCTGTAATAATTATACTGGAGCTGAATGCAAATGATACTGTCTTCTAAATGTATGTCCTTGGTCTCTCCAGTCTTGGGACCTGTGCTGGATGGCTTTTATTGTCAACTTGACACACCTGGGTAGAGGGAACCTTAATTGAGGGATTTCCTCCATTGGACTGGCCTGTGACCATGTCTGTGGGGCATCTTCTTGATTGAGTGATGTGGGAGGGCCCAGCCACCTGTGGGCGGTGCCACCCCTGGGCAGGTTGTTCTGTATTGTATAAAAAGCAGTCTGAGCATGAACCAGGGGAGCAAGCTAGTAAGCAGCATTCCTCCATGGCCTATGTATGCTTCAGCTCCTGCCTCCACGTTCCTACTCTGTGTTCCTACCATGGGCTCCCTGATGAACTGTGACATGGGGGATATAAGGTGAATAAACCCTTTCCTCCCCAAGTTGGTATTGGTCAGTATATTTTGTCACCACAATGGAGGAACAAACTAGAACAGGGCCATATGATTATTTTAAATTTATTATTATTTGATTGTTGTATTACAGATTAAACCCAGGGCCTTAGCATGAAGCACTCTACTCCCATTTTCAGGCCTGTAATTGTTCTGAGCTTGTGGTTTGTACTAAAGATTATAATGGGAGCCTTCTCTCTTACTCCTAAGACATCTACTGGCCTCACCTTATCAGGTGATTTCCCTAGGGATGGCCTCATAACTACCCCTGGGCCAGACCCTGTAGACTTTCTCTCTAGCCTCCAGCTGCCTCTGCTTACCAAGCTGCCAGTGAACTCCCCACCTCTCTCAGGGTGCCACAGTGATTACTTCTCCAATATTCCACAACACAGCTCTGACTAGACTGTAAGTATACAAGACTACCGGAGGATATCTGAAGATAACGGAAATGGGGCTGTCTATACCCACAGGTTCAGACCTACACTCAGACCCCTGCTGAAACACCAGCAGGCTTCTGCCCATGAGGAGAGTGGGGAGCTTAGGGCTTGGGCAGAATTCCTTTTTTTTTTTCCTTATAAGAGAATTCAGTATTGTCTCCTGAAAATTCACCATGGCGGTTTAAGTCGTTTTCCTGTGCCAGTGTTCTGATGTTACCCTTTGTCTGTAGATGAGCTAGAGAGATGGAGAGTTTTGCTTCCTGGTTCTGTGCTTGGTGCATCTTGCAAAGGACTAGCTTCTCAATGCCAGAAACCTACAGTATATCTGGTGGCAGCCAGAGCACCCAGTGGGCAGCACCTTCCCCTGGTAACCTTCCCCAAGTGGTTTTCTGGCAGACTGTCTCATTGTCAATGTGACTGACTGGACAGATGCCTAGGACATTAACAAGCATACCTGAACATGTGTCCGTGAGGGCATTTCCAGCGATGATTAGATCATGAGAAGTCTGACTTAATGAATACTTTAATCCATTGGTGGGTTTGACGTTTGAATAGACAGAAGTGGTTGGACTGTGGAGGATGAGCCTGTTGGAAGAAGTCGGTCCCTGGAGACATGCCTTTGAAGGGTATGTCTGGTTTCTGGCCTTCTCCTGTTCATGCTCTTCCTGGTTGTCATGAGGTGAGCTGCTTTCTGCCACCATGTTCCCACTGCCCTATTTCTGACTTAGGTCCAAAGCAATGGTACCATCTAACCATGGACTGAATGCTCTGAAACTACAAACCAAGATACAGCTTTCCTCCTTTTAAATTGTTTCTCTCAGATATTTGTGCATCAGTGAAAAGCTAAATAACACACATGGCCCCTTAAAAGATGTAGATCAAGTGCGCTAATACACTTTAAAGGGTTAAGCATCCCTAATATCCAAATCCAAAGTCTAAAACTTTTTGAACACCAACATGATGCCTCAAGTGGAAAATTTCACACCATGACTTTTGTTTCATGCGTGAAATTGTTTAACATGCTGCATAAAATTATTTTCTGGCTGAATATAAAAGATGTGTATGAAACTTGACAAGTGCCATATTTTTGAATGAGTTGCATACCCAGTATATCTCATTACATATATTCTAATCTCTAACAAAAAAATCTGGACTCTGAAACACTTGTGGTTTCAAGCATTTGGATAAGGGATAACCAACACTGGCAGGTGGTGGTCCCCTTGAGGACCAACCTCACACTACAGACTAATTTCCTGCCTTCTTATTCCTCCTTCTAGGATTGTTATTTCTGAATGTACACTTCTAAATAAAGTCCTTGTATATAGGCCTTTGCCAAAGCTTCTGGGTTTTTTGGAGAACTGAGACCAAGACCCATATTGTCTGAATTAATCTCTGAGGCCAGAGGAACCTCACATGCTCACTGGCTTGGGGTCTGGTGGCCTGATATAATCCCTATGTCAAGGGCCTGGGGCTTGTACTAAAGAAGAGGAGGGGCTGGAGAACTGGAGAATGGTGGTATGGGCCAAACACAGTGTCTGTTGTCTTAGTCCATTTTCTGTAGCTATAACAATATCTCAGATAGAATAAGTTAAGATGACCAGTATTTGGCTCATAGCTCTGGAGAGTGGGATGGCTGAGGGCATGCCACTGTCATCTGAGAAGGAGCTGCTTGCCCTGTCATCGCTCTTCAGATGACAGAAGGGCAAGAGAGAAAGAGGGAGATAAAAAGAAGGGACAACCTCACTTGTATAACAACCCAATCTCTCAATGATGACGTTAATTCACTAATTACTACTTAATTTACCACTAATACTTAATATTATACCACCTAATACACTGGACATAGAGCTTCCAACACCTGAAATTTGGGGGACACATTTAAACCTTAGTATCTAACAGATAGATAGGTCCTGTGTCTATCTTGCAATGAGTGCTTACTTCTATCTCCTTTTAGAAAATTTTTTTTATTTATTGGTTTTATGAGTATATTGCCTGCATGTATGTAAGGGCACCCATGTCATGCAACGCCCTCAGAGGTCAGAAGAGGGCATCGAATCCCCTGGATCTGGAGTTACAGATGGTTGTTAGCCGTCATGTGGGTGCTGGGAATCAAACCCAGGTCCTCTGCAAGAGCAGTCAGTGCTCTTAACTGCAGAGCCATCTCTCCAGCCCCTTATGTCTACCTCTTAACCTGTCCCACCTCCAGTTCTGTGGGTTGGCTTTACCTGTCCACTCCTGATCTCTAATGAAGCAGAAGCAGTAGTACAAATCAAACTGACCATCTTTCATTTCAGTAGTCCTTGCTTTCACAAGTAGGTCTGACAAACCGGAACTGCTGTACAGTGCAGTCAGCTGTTGATAGAGTGGAAATGCTCCATAGCTTTTCCAGTAAGTGAAGTTGACTCTGATTCCTCAGCCTTCTAGACAGGAGGAAAGTTCATTCTCAGTGGTTTAAGGGGCTCTTTCCCGCACTCCCAAGTGAGACTTTAGAAGTCTGGTTCAGAGCAAAGCACCCATCATCTCAGATGGCGGCCCTATGCCTGGATGGTGTTTTCATTGGGGGGAAGCTGCTGAGCCTGGCATCCCTGCTTTGGCTCTCCTCCCTCTGTTGAGAGGGCAGCCTTGCATCCCACTTGCTGTCCAGTTCAGATCTCTTTCCCTTTGTCTCTTGATTTGTTTTGCAGCTTCCTGCTCTCCCAAGACTGTCCTGACAGAACACAAAAACACTCATTTTGCTCCATTACCTTGCCCAGTCTCAGCGCTCAGAAGTAAGCTTAAGGTCACTAACTGATAGCCTGCTGGTGTTTTATTTAAATTTTAAAAAAGGCATTTCATGTGTAAATGCAGATTTCAGGCTTCCCCGGAATGTTTGCTGATGCTGGGAACTTGGTCAGTCCTGACATAGGGGTTGGTTGAGGAGTGTTGTCTGCTTTGGATGGGAAGAGAGCTCATCCATTTGAGGGCTTAGTATTGCCTCTGTCTTTACCCCTTGACCTCTGTAGACATCTGGGTATGAGCATTAAATTTATTCCATTCACTTACTGATTCTTACTGACACCCTTTCAAGTGCCGGGCTTATTTTAGGTCCTGGAATGTAGGAGTGGCAAGATGGACTATAGTGTTATATTTTGATGGAGATATCACAGTTCTGAACAATAGATATATTAATGTTTAATGTTTCAGGTGGCAAAACTGCTGTGAAGACCATGAAGGTATGAGTCCTTGTGGGGACATGCGAGGTGCCTTCTGTAGAGGGTATCTCTGAAAGTGACAAGATAACATACAAACACAAACTGAATTCAGTGGGACCTTCCCAAAACCAGGAGGAGAGATTTTTTTTTTTTTTCTTCACCAAGCCATCCCTGTGAGGGCCTCCTGGGTAAGGGGATAAGCAGAAAGACCTTTGTAGAAGATTCCAGAACAAAATACAGATGCCCAAACAGCAAGATTCTCATTTGTTCTTATGTGTTGAATTCCAGTAGAAATTCACAGTAAATATCTTATTAACTTTTTAGTTTTGCTACTATAAAATAGCTAAAATGCAGATCTGGTTATTTTTCCCTTCCAGGGGTGTGTGGGTCAATTCTCTTTTATCCCCATATTTTGGGGAGCTAGTCTGTCTGCATTAGTCACAGGAGGCCTACAGTCAGCTTTTCTTATCTGATTCCCAGATGAGTGTGTATATAGCTATTTTTTAAAACTCTTTTTCTGGTTATGATCACAGCTAGTGTCCAACTTCTCTATGTGTCTGATCACGCCCCAAGAATTAGTTATCCACATAAACATGCGGCTATCATGAGTTCACTTTTCTATTTCCAGAAGCACGTCAGCTCCAAATGCCTCTACCTTGCCTCCCAGACGCATGCGTGCTGACTGAGATGCCAAAATAGTCCCTTGAGTAAGTGGCAGCTTTTAAAATCAACCAGCTGCTGACTTCAAACCAGAAGGTCAGCAAAGGAAAGTGGACGTTGGATTGTGAAGGATCAAGGTGCCCAGAGGGGTTTCACAGTGTTGGGATTTTGTAGCCTTCAGCACCTCAGCTGGGTTTCCAGAGAAGATCTTGCTTCTTGTTGTCTTGTCTGGTCTTTTTACAACAAGATGAACGTACAGGCCTGTTCCAGGTGTGGCTATGGGGTTTATCCTGCTGAGAAGATCAGCTGTATAGATCAGGTCAGTGGACAACTTCTTGGTCTTTGGGCATAAGGACAATCCTGGGACATCTATCTTCACATATATGGAACCATATATGAACCATAAGAAAAGATGCATTTTTCTACTTTTATTAGAGTCTATTCATGGCTTTGTCTTCTGTGTTGTCTAAAGAAAACAATTGTTCCCTTTTAATATATTATAGTTATGTGGATAGTTTATACATTTTATCATCATTTTATCCTTAAATTTCACATTTTTACCTTGATGTGAACCCTGAATCTGGGGAAAATAAGTAATTGCCAGCTTTTTTCTATAGATATGGCACAAAGCATGTTTTCACTGTGAAGTCTGCAAGATGATGCTGTCTGTTAATAACTTCGTGAGTCACCAGAAAAAGCCGTACTGTCACGCGTAAGTGTCTGATACCCTGCCTACCACTGCTTGAGTTTTGTTTGTTTTTCAAGAAGTAGCCAACTGAAAGATTAGATCCTAAGCTCCAGGCCCAACTCCAAGAAATGCCTTCCTTCCCCAGTGTCTACTTATACGTATCCAGTTGTGGGGGAGATATAAAATAGGATTTTAGAAAGTGGCCAGAAATTTTCAAATTTTTTATAAGCAGAAGATCACATCTACCCACTGTAACCTCATGTCAAATTATGAAATAGAAAGAATAATATAACTACCAAAGATGTGCACAGACTGCCCTTAAAAGTGTTCCTTTTAAATAATGTTTAAATCCATTTCTATTTTATCAAAACTTTTCAAGTGCCCATAATCAGTGAAAATTTGTCCTTAAGTCAGAATTTACTTCATTTAATTTTTTTTGTAAGATTCATTGCCTAGAAAATCATGAACTTAATTAATAAATTTTAAACCTATCAATTTTTAAAAAATTACTACTATATTAGGAAGAGTCACGTGGTCATCTTGGATAAAGTACATTTCTAATTTTGATTTATTTCTACAGCCATAACCCGAAGAACAACACTTTCACTAGTGTCTATCATGCACCATTAAATTTAAATGTGAAGAAGTCTGTGGGAGCCCTGGGTGGGGTAAGTCACTTAACTGCCTTTTGAAATAGATTTTAAGGCAATCCCTTGGCTCAAACACCTGTTGGTTTTTAAGTGTCTCTATCTATATATGAACCAGTTCATTTCCTCCACATACACATGCAAAGTGCACTTAAGTGACAAATGTTACTCTTGTCTTCCCTCAACATTAGAGGCCAATACACAGACTAACTTAGTTTCAAGATCTGAGGTCCTTGATTCTAATATACATCTTCATGTCTGGCCAGCTCTGGACATAGGGATATTAGTTTATATTAGTGTTATCATAGCGATATTAGTGATATTATACTAAGTAGCTAATACATAAAATAAAATCTACATGGTTCGAAAATATTACGAGAACCCTTATTATTTCCTCAGTAACATTTTGGTATAGAAAATTAAAACCCTCCAGTTCCATCCTCTGAATGGTTTGCAATTGCCTGCGATCTTACTTTCTCCTTTGGGTAGGCATAGCTCAGAGATATTTTGATTAAGAAATGAAGTTTGGTTTGGGAGTTGGGGGGTTGGGATGTGGAGGTAGACAAGGGGACCACTTTGATAAATCTAACCGTGAAGTGTTGTCACCTATCCAGCTGTTGACGGAACTTGTGCATCTGTTAAAATGATGAGTCATTGGCCTTCTCTTGCCCAGGCCCCATGAGAAATTGCTCTGTGGTATGGAGTTAAGAAGTTTTCTAAAATTAGAAAATTACCCAATAGGTAGAGGGCTCTCTAGTAATCCCTGCTCTCCTGAGTTTCCCTTTCTGTTGTCACCCCAATATACTCTGACTCTGGTACCCACCAGGCTGTCCTTCTTAAGCAAGTATGTGTTAAAGCTACTGTCCTTTCATGTGACTCTCTAGACCTCCTTTTATCAGACCTACTTCCCTAAGCTCTCTGCATTAATTATGAACTTACTACTTTCATTAACAAGTGTGTATTGCACTGACTGGAAAATTGCTTAATTCCCTCCACACACATCACAACCCAATGAAGTAGGTACTGTTCTTATCCCATTCTACTGGAGAGGAAGCTGAGGCTCAGATAGGTTGCGTAACCAGCCAGCCCAGTTCCACCCAGTTCACTGGGTACAAATCCAGTCTGTCTGGCTGTAGAATCCATGTTATTGGCCCACTTGTATGTATATCCAGAGGGTGGCAAACTAAAAAAGCAGTGGCCAGAAATGTTCAAAATTCCAGATGCTTCTGTTTGTCTACAGGGAAATGGACTTATGATCAGAATTCTGTTGGTGCCTATCACATTCTGTACAGAAAGATCCACACTATGCTTTTCTGGCCTCACCCAAGCCTCAGCTGGCAGGTCCACCCCATGGTTCCACAACAGGTCACCTAGTATTTGCCTTTTCTTGGGGTGGTAATAGACTCACTCTTTTAGCTGTGTATGTCAGGTCAGGCCCAGTGTGTCAGGATGCTAGGATTATCCATCATTCTATTTCCAGCCACAGGCAGTAATGCAAGTTTCCCAGAGGGCCTGCATCTGTCTGTCTGTTTGCATGTATGTGACTATGTTACTATGTGTAGATATACATATGTTTGCATATAGGCAGAATGTATATGTGTGCATGCAAGTGTGACATGTATGTACTAGATATGATGTATATACATGTGCATGCCATACATGCACAGGTATATATATATGCACGTATTTGTGTATTGCATATGTGTATGCTATGTATATACATATGTATATATTTTGTGTTATGCATGCATTCAAGTGTAGGTATGTGTATGTATGCAAACATGTATGTATATGTGCACATATATGTCTATATGTGCATGTATTGGGCACATTGGTGTATTATTGCAGTATGTATGGATGTGTGTGCACCTGGTGTGTATACATGTGCAGTTGTATATGGTGTGTATGTATGTATATGTGGTATGTATGGTATGCACTTGTGTGCATGTGTGCATGTGTGCATGGTGTGTGTATAGTGTGTGTACATGTGTGCATGCAAACTTGACTATTAGAACCCTTTTCTCCTCTTTTCTCACCTGGGAAAAATTGAAATGAATATTCATGTCTCTTCTAGGGCCCAAATCTTATAACAGCCTTAGGGTGTGTAATGGGTGAATTTCACCACCACCCCTCCACCTCTCTGCAAGAAGTGGCCCATTCAGAAACAAATGTATTGTGCGTGTGCTAGCATTTACAAAAAGAAGGAAAGTTATGTTTCAGTGATGGTGATGAAGGCGAGAATCAAGTATGGACTTTGAGCTGGTGTGTGTCGCAGATTTATGTTTTTCTGCTTCACAAATGACACTCTTTGAAAAATAAATATTTGCTAAGACAGATTTTTTTTGTCTGGTGAGAATGAATTGAATTTCTCGAGAATGCAACATTTTAATTCTCTTCTATTCAGAGAATGAACTTAACTCTTACTGCTTAACATCACCAGTGACATTTGAGGCTTTTGGCTTTTCGCCTCACTCATTTCTTCAGTGTGATCCTGACTTCCCTGGAAGGGCTCAGGGTTTGCTGTGGGGGAGGACATCAAGTCAGCTTTCCAGACATGGGCTAGAGCACCTGTTTCGGTCATGTGTTTCTGATTCCTTTAGTACATGGTTCTCTATGGGGTCGTATCACCCACTGGGGATAACATTTGGTGATTGTCTGGGGACATTTGTGACTGTCACAACTGGGAAAAGGGAATTATTGTTCTCATGGGTAAGAACAAAGGGTGATGCTAAATGTCCTGCTGTGCTCAAAGAATCCCCCAAAGCAAAGAATTAGCTGGTCCTTAGTGTCAGAATCTCTACCTCCATTCCATAATGTTCATGATAGTTTCTCAGAATATAAGACCAAAAGCATGAAAGATTGCTCAGTCATGTGTTAACATGTGCCTGTGGGTCTGCACCAAACAGCATTAAACAGTATCAAGCTTAGGAAATCAATGGTAGAAAAAGCCCTTGACAGGATACTGGAAATCTTTAAATGTTCTCTCTGGCTTTGTGAGTCCATTTTCTATAAAACCAAAACTTTAGCTTGTAAAAGCTGAAGATTTGGGGACCCCATCTTAGACCTAATAAAGTACGTTATCTTGGCTTGGACCTAGGACTTTATGAGGTTTTTTTTTTTTTTTTTTTTTTTTTTTTTTTTTTTTTTTTTTTTTTTTTTTTGTTTTTTTTGAGGCAGGGTCTCCCTGTAGCCCCAACCGTCCTGGAACTCACTATGTAGACCAGGCTGGTCTTGAACTCACAGATATCCACCTGCCTCTGCCTCCCAAATGCTGGGATTAAAGGCTTGTGCCACCATGCTTGGCCTGAGTTATTCTTTTATGGTCAGTCCTTTCCTGGTTCTCTTAAAGAAATCTACTTTTTCCTAAATCGTGAAAATATTGGCATGTCAGTTATCCCCAAACTGATCTATATGTGGACATGCTATCCATGTATCTATGTCATCTGCCATCACAATTATAAACCATGGTGTGGTTTATAGACACTGGCCAACTGGCTGCAATATTGATACAGAAACAGAAAGGCTCTAGAGCAGCCAAAAAATATTAAGGACTACAATTGAAGGCTTCAGGATTTACTATAAAAGCAATACCAAGTCACTTAGTGGAAGATTGGCACAAAAATAGACAAACCAGTGGATGAAAATACAGTCTAGAAACTGAGCTGCCCATATATGACCATTTGAATTACAACAAAAATGTTACTGTAGTTCAATGTAACAACAATGAGCTTTTAATAAAGTGCTGGAGAGATTGTATGTCTATACAGTTGATCATGACCAAATGGCTGAGAAAGGATACAGCTGGAAATTTGTATGAAAAAAAAAAAACTTGGCTCTTACCTTACAGCTATATAGTATAATATAATATAGTATAATGTATGTATGGGTGGTTTGCATGCTAGGGCAGGTATATGAAGGTCAGAAGACACCTTGAGGGAGTTGGTTCTCTCCTAGGGTGTGGGTGCTGGGAATTAAACTCAGGTGGTCAGGTTTGGTAAGTACCTTTACCCACTGAGCCATCTCACTGGTGCAACCTTAGCTTCTGTAATTGCCTGTTCATAGAGCTTTATACACAGCAGGAGCTCAATGTGTGTCACCTGGCTGGTAGCACAGAAGAAACTGCAGCGGGATTAACAGCGAGGGGTGCCTTGTAGCACAGCTAAGACGCCTTGCAGCTGAGACTTGGGAAAAGTTGTCCAAATTTAGCCACACAGCATCTGTTTTCTCTTCTATGATAGAAACATTACTGACATCATTTTCATTGTATACAGGTAAATGGCCAAGAAGATGGTGAGCAGTTTAAATCGGTTTTTCACTGGGACATGAAGTCCAAGGATGGGGCAGGGGCACCTGGCAGGCAACCACTGATGAATGAGGTGAGAAAGGAGGTGATAAACAGGTTTGGAAGAAGAGAGAAGAATGACACTATGCAAATGAAGCCCAGGATTGTTATTACTTATAGAGGAGAACAATAGCTTTTCTTCTATGCTGCTTGTAACTCCAGCTGCTTTAGAGGAGACTGGGCACATTCAGGGTGGTATGACTGCAGAGTTCAGCTGTCCTTGTGGACCTTCATCAAATCTTCCTATGAACACCTTTCAACTGCATCTGCTCCAATTCAAGTTCACTGTCTTTCCATCCCTGGAAGTTGCTCCAGCTTGTGGCTGATGTTGCTCTTCTTATGATGCTTCACCTGGCCCCAGTCCTTCCTCCCATGTCCCTACTCATTCCTGCCCAGCCCTTGAAGGGCCTCCCATGGTGACTTTCCCTCATCCACATTTTTTGTCCCCAGCCCAGTGTACCACATTGGTCACACAATTTCTTGGATGTCCCTGACTTATTTTTTCTATGCCCTGTCTATTGACAGGCTGCTCCTTACAAAATCTTCCAATTATATATATTTTAAATATTTTATTATTTTCTATTTTTTATGTGTATAAGTGTATTGCCTACATGTATAAGTGCACCCATGTCATGCAGTGCCCATGGAGGTCAGAAGAGGGTCTTGGATCCCCTGGACCTGGAGTTTGGACAGTTGTTAGCTGCCATGTGGATGCTGGGAATTGAACCCAAGTCCTTTGCAAGAGCAGCCATTGCTCTTAACTGCTGAACCGTCTCTTTAGCCCCCAGTTCTGTATTTTTAATTGCATGCATAATACATGCATTTTTCTCAATGTAAAAAGTAATCCAATAGTACAGCGCCAACCCTTATCCACCATCTCCAATCCTATTTCTTTCAGTACCCACTCTCACTGATCTTGCAGGTACCCTTCTAGACTTTTCTATGTACTTATATCTATCTAACCTCTCTATTTATATCTATTGTCCTAGTTTGTTTTCCTGTTGCTGTAATAAGAAAATATGAGCAAAAGCAACTTGGGGCGGAAAGGGTTTATTTATCTTATAGGTTAAAGTCCATCATCAACAGAAGTCAAGGCAGGAACTCAAGGCAGGGGCTTGAAGCAGAAACCATGGAGGAATGGGCTTGCTCTCTCTGGCTTCCTCAGCTCCCTTTCTTAAAGATCCCAGGCCCACTTGCTTAATGATTGTACCACCCGCAGTGGGCTGGGACCTCCTGCATCAATTAGCAGTTAAGAAAATGTTTCACAGACATGGTCACAGGTCAAGCTGATCTAGGAAATTCCTCAGTTGAGGCTCCCTCTTCCCAAGAGACTCTGGATTGTGTTAAATTGACAGCTATTATCTATCTATCTATCTATCTATCTATCTATCTATCTATCTAATCTATCATCTAATCTATCATCTATCTATCTATCTATCTATCATCTATCTATCTATCTATCTATCTATCTATCTATCTATCTATCATCTATCCATCTATCTAGCTATCATGTATTTATCACTATCAATTATCTATGTATCTCTCAATTTTCTACCTATCTGTGGCTTTCTAGTAGTTAACATTTGGGTATATCTACTACCTTTATTGGGGGACCTGGACTGAGCTATAAAAATTTAAGTTAGTTTAAAAATTCATCATTTCATTTTGATTTTTCTTCTTTGACAGTTTCATATATGTATATAATATAGTCTAACCCTCATTACTCTCTCTCACCCCCTCCTTCTGCTGAAATCTTTCATCTTCCCACCAGGTCGCCCTCTTATTTTCATGTCTTTGCAGGTGTGTGTGTGTGTGTGTGTGTGTGTGTGTGTGTGTGTGTGTGTGTATGTATGACCCACTGAGTTTAATTAAGGTTAAGTGCAGATGGAAGGTCATTCACTGGAGCATGGATGGAAGGTCATTCACTGGAGCATGGATAATTTATCACTGCCTACACCATTGAAGAAAATGAAAATCATTAATTTCCAAAAGCCTCTCAAAGAGAGGTGGGGCCTCATGAGTCCCCTCCCCCACCCATGATAAGAAGATACCTGTCCTAGTCTCATGCAGGTAACCACAGCTGCAGTGAGTTCCTGACTGCATCAGCCGTGACTTGCCTTGGAGATGTCTTTTTGTAGTATGTCTCCTCATTCTTTGGCTCTTACCCGCATTCTGCCCACTCTCCCGTGATATTCCCTGAGCCTTGACAAGGGTGATAGAGATGTTCTATTTAGGGCATGGTGCCATAACTGGTCACTTAGACTAGTTATGAGTTTCTGCATAAACCAGAGCCCACAGCAGTAAGTAGCTTTCCTGAAAAAGTCCAAGAACAGCACTAACCGATGGATATAAATATGAGTCTATAGAAGGGAGTTTGACAAAATGTCCACTTAGTGAAAGGATAGTATTAGGTTCGCCTTGAGGGCCTATGACTGCTCTAGCCAGGGGTCCTTGACCAGGTTTACAAAACTAGTCATGAGTTCCCTCTTGTGGAACAGGCCTCAAATCCATGAGACAGCAGTTTTATCATTCGTAAACTTCAGAAATCTCCTAATTCATAGGGCCTTTGTGAAGATTAAAGGAATAGCTAAATACAAAGGTATTATAATAGAGCTAGGTACAAGAATATTGGCTATTTTATTTTTATTGATAATTATGTCAATTTCTGTTTGATAATATTTTTGATTTCTTCACAAAACAATATCCATTGTTTGCCAGCTTGTTCTTTTCACTCCACAGATACCTTGGGAGTATTTCCACATCAACATCCTTTTTTAGCTGGTGTGGATGTATACTGTATGGACACAGAATGCATGTAAAGTGCTAGCCTATTGGTACGCATGGTTGTTTCACACTTTAAAAGACAAAGAAAGTTTCAACAAACACTCTTACCCAGTGGGTGTTCTTCTAGAACAGTCTAGAAAAATGAGGTTGCCATGTTGCAAGGTATATGCCTTTTAGTTTTCACAGAGGCTGTCAAATTTCTCTCTCATGTAACTTGCTCTTTAAAGATTTTATCATCTTTACAGTATATGTAAGCATATAAATGTTTTCTAATTGCTGTTTGTTTTCTGTTTTATCCCCAAAATTATATCACAAATATTTTAAAAGAAAAAGTTTTCTTTTTTCTTTTCTTTTTCCATTAACAATCATCAGACACAAAATAGTAGTCTTTTGAAATTTGTCCTGATAATGCTGATGAGTCTATGACCATCTGTTCTGGGGACATCCCCCCGACCAGTCCTACTGCCATGATGAACAAAGAAATGTTATGTTACAACTGGAAGGTTTCTATGACCTCAGAAGATCTCAGGGAATTAAATTATTTAGTGTATTAGGCCATTTTGTAGTCTGAAAAACGTGAGCATTCTAGCTGGCTGGGGCCATGCATGAATACAAGGATGCATTTTATCTTGCCAACACAAGGATTGCTGTGAGGAGTGTGGGGTAGATTGGGGGATCTTGGCAACTAAATGTGCGGAATACACATTTGGATGCACATGTGTACTTCCTTTATAGAGAGCTTATTGGCCGGGGTACGGAGAAGGGAACTTATGGTGCCCAGGATCTCTACCAGACCCCGAAATTGTAAGGATGGTTGAGGCTCGACAGTCTCTCGGTGAGGTAAGAAGCTTACAAATTACTTAGTAATTATCAGGTAACAATTCATTTTACTGTTCCTTAACTTTTAAGATTGTGGCTGACAGAGCACCCTGGCCCACTATTAGTCTTGTCACTGTGGCAAAGAATACCTGAAAGAAACAACCGAGAGTCTGTAGCAGTTCTTTGTTCCCAGGAGCCAACCAGGAAGTGGAGAGATCAGGCTGGAACCAAAACCGGATATAGCCTTCAAAGGATGGTAGTTGACTACTTCTGATAGTTAGGCCTCACTGCTCAAAGATTCCACAGCATTCAAAATAGCATCATAAGCTGGAGAACAAATGCTCAAGACATAAATCTGGGAGGGCGGTATGATGCCATAGTACCCTTCCTCCCAGAGTCCCATGTCTTGATGTCTGGAACCTAATACTCTATTATTCACACATCAAAGACATAATGAAGTTAAGGATCTTGAGATGGGAAGAATCTTGAGAACCAAAGGGGCTCTGTAACCATAAGCAGGAGGGTCAGAGTCAGAGAAAAGGCACTGTAATAGCAGGAGCAGAGGTCAAGGGCATGTGGGGAAACACAGAAAACACAGAAATATTCTTTAGTTGCTCCAGAAGGGTCCAGCCTTGACCACATAAGACTCACCTCTAGGACCATGAGGGAAACCTTAGAAAGTATTGAAGTAGCAAGGGAATTATAGCTTGGGTTGCCAATGTTTTTAAATACTCACAGATAGTACCCTCTGGCCTTCTGTACACTACTCCTCTTTGAAGGATCCACCTTGAACATTCCTGCTAGTCTTTGTGACTTTTTTCATTTATAAAATGGAGAGAAAACAAGAGAAGCACAATTGTTAAGGCCATGTGCCTATTAGAAAAGCTAACCCTCAGTTGCTCAGAAAGAGAGGGAAAAATAAGACAGTTCCCTCCCAGTGCTATAGAACAGCCCCTGGTAGATGAGTTCCAGCCAAGTCTCCTGAGCATTAATAGTTGTGTTCTAATACAAGCCTTGGAATCAAGGGCACCTGAGGAAGTTCAATCAGGCTCCATATAACTTGATGTACACATTGGAGGGGCTCCCTTTGGACCTGGGGAATACGAGATTGTCAGTCTCGATGGTAGTGTTCAAATACCATGTTCAAACATTCTGGAGACTGAAATTTTTTCCCAAGTACTGTATGAGTCTAGTGCCATTGGCTTTGCTGCCGCTTGATTAGCTCTCATCAAGAATCAGTTATTTCTCATCCTACTGTGGTTCTGACCAACAGGCGTATATGGAAGACCATGAACAACAAGGTAAGGGGAGCTTTCCAGCCATGATCACACCTGCATATCAAAGGGCCAAGATAGCCAACCAGCTGGCCAGCCAGGTGAGTGTCCCTAGGTTCATTCGTACCACTGATGGTGTTAACTTTTGGCATGAATGCAGCTCTGAAGTTCAGGAAGAAAAATATAAGAAATTGTTCTGTAGTATTTGGAGAAAGCAGTGTTTTTATCTTTTCCTATAATTTATCTTCTGTGCCTTGATGCGGTCACATTTACAAAATGCAGAGAAGGCTATATCAGTCACCCAAAGACTGGACCAGATATTGCTTTAGGTTTCTGAGTTTTTATTAACCAGATGTTAGATTCACCCAAAGAACATCACAGCTCATTGGTTAAGACCTCAGATTTCAGACTAGAATTCTAGGATTTGAATCCTGGCTCTATGACTGTGGACACATTACTGAGCCTCTGTTCTTAGCTTCTCGTATGTATGTGGGGAAAGCAATGGTCCCACTGGATGTGAGTGTTAGGGGGATTGATTCCATGAGTTGCTATCTGTTGACACTTAGAAGAGCTTGACACTGCTGAATTTGGCACATCAGCAAAGGTACTTTCGTGACTAGACTTGGCACATTTGTGTTGAGCATGGCCTGAAGGGGTAGTTTCAGGAGAGCTGTAAGGAGTCTCTGAGGTGGGCATGGCTTTGACTCTGCTTCTCCTCATCAGGTGCAGTACAAGAGAGGCCACGATGAGCGCATCTCCAGGTTCACCCCAGTGGCAGATACCCCTGAGCTGCTACGAGCCAAGGCTGGGGGACAGCTTCAAAATGATGTAAGAAATGATGCAGGCATGTTGGGGAGATGGCTCTGTGGACAAAGTACTTGCTGTGCAAGCATGAGGAACAATAAAAACCAGACAAGTGTAGTGGCCCATCTGTGCTTGAGAGGTAGAGATGGGATCCCCAGGGCAAAATGGCTTGCCACACTAGCCATAATTGGCAATCTCCAGGTTCAGAGAGAGACCCTACCTCAATACATAATGTGGGGAGCGACAGGAAAACACCTGATGTCCATCAGCTCTGGGCCTCCACATGTACATGCACACATGGTTGACTGGTACTTGCATACACACGTGGGCCCATATACATGCAAGCACACATATATACATGCATACATACCAAACACACACATATACATTAAAAAATAGATTCAGGCTAAGGCATGATAGTCCTTATTTAAGATCTCTCATTCTTCTGTTACCTGAAGAAGAGGGAAGGGGGAATGGGTGAGGAATCTTTGTCCTTCCTGGGTACCAGGAAGAGTTTTCTGAGGTCAAGTGCCGTAAGCCAGCCACCACAGGCCTTGCAAAAATGCTTCAAATAGAAACCACTAGATTAGATTTGTACCAAACCAGATACATCTGACTCATCTGAAAGACATCTCTTTTCCACTTGCCTTTCCACAGCCCATATGCTCCACAGCATACTGACCAAAAACTGAGTGTGAGGCTGGAGAGATACCTCAGCAGTTAAGAGCACTGGCTACTCTTACAGAGGACCCATCACCCACATGGTAGCTAACAACTGTCCATAACTCCAGTTCCAGGGGATCAGGCACCCTTTTCTGCCTTCCATGGGCATGGAATGACACGGGTACACTTACATACATGCAGGCAAAATATGCATACACATAGAATAAAAAATAATAAAATAAATTTAAAAACCTGAGTATCATTCTGAATAGAATATTGAAGCGCAACCAGTGTCATCTTAATAAAGGGATCTTACTTGCCTTGCCTGAGATCTGGGATTGAGATAGTTCCTTTGTTTCTCAAACGTAACTGTAGCTCCTCAGGGGCAGAGACAGCCCTTTGTTCAGGTCTACCACCTAGCCCACACCAGATGCAGCAGAAAGATGTGCTGTGTTTCTATGTGCCAGGCATTGGGATGGTTATAGAGAATGAAAAGACAGATAAGATGAAAATGGTCCACCAAACTAAGTTTCCAAGGGGCTAGTCAGGGGCCTATGGAGCTTTTAGCAGAACCCCTCTTCCAGATCCTCTGGTAGATGGCAGAGTTGCCACATGTCATTTACTGTCTTCTTTTTCCTTTTCCAGGTGAGATGCACAGAGGACTCTGAAGAGCAGAGAGGAAGAGGCAGTTTTCCTGCTATGGTTACACCTGCTTATCAGATAGCCAAAAGAGCCAATGAGCTGGCCAGTGATGTAAGTGCCTGTGGCTGTGGTCATGTTAAGAGGGGAGCAGGGTGCTTCTGGATTGAGAGGCCAATGTCCTGTCTGTTTTTATATGCTTGCTAGAGCCAAAAAGTAGTTTTCCTTCATGGCTGGTTTTCAATCATGTTCACCATGACAATGACCTGCCACTTTTATTTCTGAGACATATTCTCTAGACTCAAGCGGAGAACGAAGACTCCACAAAGCATTTATCTCTACTCATGACTCTTATGCATGGAAGGCTGAACTCATCTAGTTTGTCTCGGCCCTCCAAATAGGTGAAGTACCATCAACAATATGAAAGAGAAATGAAGGGAGTAGCTGGTCCAGTAGTTGGAGCCGACAGCATAACAACAAAGGAATGTGTCGACCAGTGTGGCCAGGTATGTGGTTCTTCTGGAGGCTGGCCTTCTCCACAGGCCCTCACAGCTGCGACAGCCTGCAGACACATGGTCAGGACTTAGGTTTAATGAAAGGTAGATTTTTTCCAAGCTAGAAAGTAGCAGATAAGCAATATATAAGGCTCAGTGAAACCCACTTAAGAAAACAGATTCCAAATGCTTTTTTTAAAAAAAAATCTGCACCAGTGCTGTGGTTTCACCAAGAACAGGGTATTTTCATCTATTCATTGAAGAACTGTTTCAAGGGCTTAAATTGGCTAGATTTAGTTCATCACTGCATAAACATTGAAAGGGACCAAAATGTCACGAGGGACTGGGGAGATGGTTTAGGGGTAAAAACACTTGCTGTGTAAGTAGGAGAAGCTGAGTTCAAATTCCAACATTCACATAAAAAGGTTGGTCATGGACAGTGTATGCCTGTAACTTCAGAGCTATGGGGGTGGTGTGGAGGCAGGAGATCACTGTGGCTCACTGGCTGTTAGCCTAGCTTAAGACTCAGTGAGAGATGCTGTCTCAAGGGAATAGGTGATAGATAGATAAGGGAGAGTGATAGATAGAGCCAGATGCCAGATACCCTCCTCTGGCCTCTGCATCCACATATACCTGCACACACATGTGTGCATATATCACATACACACACACACACATGCACAATTTATGTCTTGAAAAGTATTGATATTTCACTAAGCAACAGGGCTTGTGTTCTTAGGAAGTGAATACTTCACCTGGTTGCTAGATAAAGCAATATAGTCTAGAGGGCAGAAACTTTGTTTCTAGCTTCATTTTTCAAACCAACTACACCTTGTCTGGGAGTAGAAAGTTTGAGATGACAGACTCAAGATAATTTCCACTTTCACATTCCTGTAAAAGAAGCACTAATTTTCACAGTTAGAAGTAAAAAAAAAAAATTGGAAAAGCAAGTCTGTGTGTGTGTGTGTGTGTGTGTGTGTGTGTGTGTGTAAATGATACATTCATTGAGGTTAAGTGATTGTTTTTTTTCTTAATTGGATAGTTTTGTTTGTCAGTGGACAAACTCTACAACATGCACAACCTGTAAAGGAAGGCACAAAGAATTTATTTATCTCCTTTAGAAAATCGAGTCACCATAGGTGGGCACATACTCATGTGAGTCTTAGGATGTGTGTGAAGATGGGTTTTGACCCCTTTGCAAATGTCTACCTAAGGAAGAAATGCTTGGCTTTGAATTCAAAGGCTGTTTAATCACACTATACAAACAAATTATAAGCATCTTGGTGCTTTAAAGTCAATGAAAATATGCTTTCAGTTAGAAGGCTCAGAACAATTCTATATCAGTTTTTATATTGAAAAAAAAAAAAAAACCTTGGAGGAGCTAAGTGGGATGGCCTCCATTTGTAATCCTAGCACTTGGGAGGCTGAGGTAGGAAGATTGCTCTGAGTTCAGGGCTGGAAAACGTCGTGCTAATCTGGGCTGCATAGCGAGACTGTCTCCAAAAAGAAAAAAAAAAATTGCTTCTTCTATATTTGGCCCCCAAATATTTTTTTTCGGTATTTGCAGTCTTATCTACCTCTAGTTATAACACACATGTAATTTTTAGTTGTGTCCACACACATATGGAAAACCAGAGAGCCCATTAACAAAAATCTTTAGAACTTTCTTCTTTTCTCCTCTTTTACTCCCCTGATGCTAAACTGAACTTTGTAAACTTACTACATTTGACCTAGAATGTTCTGGCAGCCAAACCAAAAGGAGAGTTTGGGTTAACCAATTTCGCTGGGGTGGTAGTGGCTAAAAGCAGGCCTGAACACTAAATTTGACCCCTAGCTGAGAAATAATGTCAAATCGATTCCTGCTCTTTAGGGCATGTTGACTGAAGTTTCCAGTCCTGATAATAATAAACTCAAGAATCAAAGTGGGTGTTGTTGGATGGCACCATTAGCAGCTGTTGAGAGGACTCCGTCTAGAGTGGCATTTTGCTATGTGATTTTGGATGACTTGCCAGGGCATGAGTAGGAGGGAGTTAGAGAGAAGCAGGCAGGCAGATAAAACTATAAATATCTGCTTTGCCTTAAACACCAAAGCAATTCATTCTTCTCTTTAACGACTAACTAAAGCCCATGGAAAAGTCTATACTATGCAATAAATTTATTATTCATAACCAATAACCCAATAGAAGTTAGTATCTTGTAACATACACGCACATGCACAAAATACACAGATACACATACATGCATACACATACACACACAGTCTTTAAAATAAAGCTACTAGTACAAAGTTGTAGAGCAGGAAGGAGAAAGATCACAGAGATCCCACCCCAAAATCTTTTTTTTTTCTTTTCTATCTCCAAATTTACCTTTTTTCACTATTACATTTGACTCAGAACATTCTGGCGGTCAACCAAAAAGGAAGCCTGAATACTTAAATTTGACCCAAGTCTTTTGTTAAAGAAAATGTATATTCCAGAGTCCAGCCTGATACTAGTGAGGGTAGGCCCCTGCCCTGGAGGAGGCCCCAGGGACAGGGTGTCATGAGCCCAAGGGTTTCCATAAAGGCTGTTTCATGCTGGTGGGCAAAGTCCAGAGGAGCAAGCAGCTGACTCTGTTCAGGAAAGGTCTGGAATGAAGAAGGACTCCCGGACTCCCAGGAGAAGGTTCTTCTAGGTAATGCCACCACAGTGAGCCCTTCTCACTCATAGGATGATGGTTTCATGAAAGAGAAAGTTTTCCTTTATGGAAATGGTGTGAGGACGAGCAAGGAAAACATAAGACAGAGATGGTAATCCTTGTTCTTCAGTGCACAGTTACTCCCCTTCCAGAGATTCTGATGGCAATGTGAAGTCTCTCTTTGCACGGTTACAAACGTTTTTATTCTATTCCATTCCTGGTTACGTGACACACATCAGTAGCAGGGGTGGTGGTGAGGAGCATTGTGGATGTGAAAGCGTCCTGCTCTATAAATCTGCCATTGGGTCTAAGTAAAGTAACATAGGAGACTACTGGAAAGCAACCATTTCCCTGACAGGAGTTAAAACATAACTATTCCATAAAAGCATGGGACTAGGAGACTGGCAGAGTATCATGGTTTATTGGATGATGATTATGATGATGATGACAATGATGACAATAGTTAATATTTACTTAGTATTGTCCACACACACTGGCCAGCAGTAGTAGGTTAGACTCCAGGGTCTAGTATCTTATCTACTGCATCCTAGGTTTCTGGCAATCATTGGCCAGTGTGGATGGACTGTTCTGGGCATCAGTCTCCCGAGAAATCACTGCTGAGTCACACCTATTCTGGAAGGGGGGCATTACTGATACAAAGATTTTGATTGACTCATCAGGGCTACTCAGAGTGTGACGAGCGTAGGGGAAAGGGCAGCTTCCCGGCCATGATCACCCCTGCTTATCAGAATGCCAAGAAGGCCAATGAACTCGCCAGTGATGTAAGTACCATGCAGGGATGACCAGCAGAGCCATAGAGGAGAGCTGGGATGCTGAGACTACACATTCTGAAACCTAAACACAGACACATCTCTTAGAGCCCAGCCCTCAATCCAAATTTCTGATCTCTTTATCTGTTCAGAGTCTCTGATTACATTTATCTGCTTCCACGGAGACTGAGATAAACAAACTGGACTATACACTTTCGGTCATTTGAAGAAAGTACAAACAATGGTCCAACCAGATAGTCTGGGATTAAGAGTCTTTGCTAAAACTCCATTGAGAAAATGAAACTTTTGGGAAAAGTTCATTAAAAGAAGTCGTATGATTATCAATTTGAGTGTAACCCAGTGAGTGATTATGATTTTTCTTTGAAGACTGTTAAGCAGCTGGCAGTCTTTGAGAGACAGGCTGTAATTAAACTTGGAAAGTGAAATGCTTAATGCAGGTCTTAACATGCCAACTGGACCTTGGTCTCTAGCTGGAACCTGGTGTTCATTTTATCCCTTTGCCCTTCTTCACTCTGCTGCTGTCCCGTGAGTACCCTCAAACCCAGAACAATGCCACCTTTCCCCCAAGAAGGGAAGAGCAAGTCACCTCTGCAGGCAAGAGTTGGGGAAATGGTGTTTAGTACAGAATGGGACTGGAATTCTGGGATGATTGTTTTAAGAGCTTTTCCCCTGTTACAGGTAGAATTAGAGAACAAAGTCTAAAAATTGTGAAAAGGCAGTGAAAATTAATACAAAAAGGATCAAGTTTCTAGGTTGAATAGAGATTAAAAAAAAAAAAGTCCATGGGAATTTTCTTTCATTCAGAAAATTCTGTTGAGCAAATGTTGACATTAATTCTGGGATCATTTCAGAGTCATTTTTCTCCCAGAGCAGGGCAGACTTTCCTTGTGTGTTTCTTTCAGATTAAATACAGGCAGGACTTCCATAAAATGAAAGGTGCGGCCCACTATCACTCCCTTACAGCCCAGGACAACTTAGTTCTTAAACGGGCTCAGAGTGTGAACAAGCTTGTGAGTGAGGTGAGTATGGGGAGAGAACCACTTGCATGTGCTGCTGTCCCCCGTATCTCCAGGTCCCATTTTTAAAAAATGCCGTTAAAGTATGACCCTCTGCCGAGAATGGTGGCATACACCTGTAATTCCAGCACTTATTTGAGAAGTAGAGGCAGGCAGATCTGGAATTCAAGGCCAGTCTTAGATATATAGTGAGTTGGGAACTGTCTGCACTACATGAGACTCTGTCTCAGAACACTGTGCAACCACATATACTATCCCTGTATTACCCCAAAGGATGCATATAGAACCAAACAAATTAAATCTTTCTGTGACTCAGAACTTTTTCCCCAAATGCTCACAAGGTTGTAAACTGTCAAAAGTGCCGGACTTTTGACAATTCAGTTTCCAGAAAGATTACTAGATAGCTCAACTTTTAAAGATTTATTTTTAGTTTTATATCATGGGTATGCATGCATGGGGGTTGTAGACACTTGAGCGCAAGTGACCTTGGAGGCCAGAAGAGGTTGTCAGATCCCCTGGATCTGGAGTTACATTCAAACAAAGGCTCTAGATGATTCTTATACTCTGGACCAGAGGTCATCACGCTCTGACCTCAGCCGCTTATTTTTGCAAATGAAGTTTTATTAGGACACAGCCACATTATATTTGTTTGTGTACTGCCGGTAGATGGCTGTTAAGCTCTCAAGGTAGATTTGAGCACTTGACATTGAGACCATGTGGCTGGCAAAGCCTGTGATATTTATTTACCTGGTCATTTTTTAGCCCTAGATGGGACCTTTGCAATTATTGGGCCATCATTTTCTCATAGCCTTGGAAAAGGACAGTGTCTGGTGTGGTCTGATAAAGAGAGTTCTGCAATAAAAGCAGAACCTGGCCATTGGGTGGGGGACCGGTACAGTTCAACCACCTATGAATAACACTGTCAACATTTCAATCTTTTCATTTATGAATGCATGTATATATGATTATACATGATTATCAAGTATATATTGGGGATATGGAGATGCCCAATGGCACTTACTGCCCAAGCATGAGGACCTGAATTCTAATCCTCATCACACAAGAACACAGGACCAGTGGTGCATACCTATAACCCCGGCTCTGTGGGAGGCATAGGCAGGAGGTTCCTGGGGGTTCACTAGCCACTGAGCTGAAACAGTGCTATTTCACTGGCCAGGTTTAGTGAGATACTGTGTCTCCAAAAAAAAAAAAAAATGTGGAGAGAGAGGAAGATACCTCTGGCCTCCACATGTGCATTATGAGCACATACACTCCTCAGAAACATGCATATACACATGATACAGGGAGAAACAACATCCCTTAGAGGGTTCTTAGTCTCATTCATAAAATAATTTAAGAATGACTCAAATGGAAGCTTTAGGACAATTTTATTAGAGTTTAAAGAAAAGTTCTCAGGGCAGGCAAGCCTTAAATCTCAGCAGCTGCCTTGAGGAGGAGAATGGAAGGGCGAAAGAAGAAAGCCATGAAGTCTTGCGGGTTTAGGGTGGGCATGGAGGTCAGATATGTGGTGGGCTGGCAACCACATGGTGGGAAGAAGAAAGCTTTAGAGAAAAAGTAAAGAAATACAAGATGCTTGGGGCAAGAATGGTTCCAAATGGAAGCTTTAGGACACATTTATTAGAATTTTAAGGAAAATCCTCAGGGCAGGCGAGCTGAGAATCTCAGCAGCTGCCTTGAGGAGGAGGATGGAGGGAAGAGGGAAAGCAAGCCAGGAAGGAGCCATGTGGGTTCAGAGCCCATGTGGAGGTCAGACACGTGGCAGGGAGAAGGGAGCTTTAGAGAAAAAGTAAAGAAATATAAGAGCTGGGGCAGCCCAAAGCATTAAAGAAAGCATGTTTAGAAAAGGGATATGAAGAAGAAAATGAGAGAATTACACTTTTCTGAAAAATTCAGAAAAGCAGGCAGACTTACAGAGACCTATATGTCTGTGGTCTGGTCTGGAAGCTCTGCACTAGAAGGGGGGATTCCAGGCAGAAAATGTTCACAATCTCATGGGCACACTAAGTATTCCACTCATCTGTTTAGCATGACTTAAGGTGAGCCTGCTTCCTAGGTGTGGTTCTGTGATCAGGTGATTGACCAGTGAAATTGGAAAGGTGGGTCTTCTAACAGATAGAGGAGATTTCATTTTTTGAACAGTTAATCTTGTGGAACTTTTTGCTACTCTAACACGCATACACTAAACATACACACACACACACACACACACACACACACAGAAAGGCTTTTTTTTAAAGACATTATATCTTGAGTTAGAATGTAATTTCATATACAGCCCTTGTATTTTTTATATCTATAGTTTTGTGAGCATTGTAATACATCTTGCATATTTTAAATGGCATATCCCCAGCACATAATTTTAACAGACCTGATAACAACTTAGTGTTGCCTTCAGTAAATGATCCCAAGGTCACTTTTGTTTAGCCCTTATGTTTGTCCAGTAAGACAAACTAGCTCTGCCTCTAATAATGGCACTCACCCTCAGCTGCTTCTGCTATTATCAGGTCTGACAGTCTATTTAATAAGAGTAGCCTCACATCTTCTTCCCAGGCACCCATGGGCACTCAAATAGTCAACCCATTTTTAATGAAAGGTGGGCTCCTTCACTGTATTCCTTTGTAAAGTATTTTTGTTAACTATAATTGAAGTATACATAGAGAGCCATGTCTCTGTAATGGGCTCTCAGTAAAAGAAAAAAGCATGGCCATAAGTCTAGACATCACATGACTACCCAAGACATTTCATCCTGAGTAGTCACTTCATTTCTAAAATCATTTTTGCCAATATTATTGTTAGTTATTTGGTGCTGCATAGTAAACCCAGGGCTTCCTATTGGACAGGCCCTCTGTCACTAAGTTATACCTCCAGCCCTATTTTATAGTTTTTGAGCTTTATGAGGTGTTACAATATCTGCTATTGAGAAAGACTATGTATTTGTGATTTTTTTCAGGATAAAATAACTTGCTCTATTGTTTGTTTTTTATAAAGAAAAAACATACTTTAGGTAGCCTATACCTGGCATTTTGAAATCTTGCCTTGGAAGTTTTGTAAAAACATCCCAGTTGAGTCTTAGAGATCTGTTCAAGAATGACTTCAGGTTTGGTTCTACTGAGCTGTTGGTGTTTTTGGTTTCCAAGGTGGAGTATAAGAAGGATCTGGAGAGTAGTAAAGGTCACAGTATCAACTACTGTGAGACCCCCCAGTTCAGGAATGTGAGCAAGATCTCAAAATTCACCAGCGATGTAAGTTAATACCTAAACATTTGTCTGGGCACTTTTTGTGAGTTTAGCTCCTAGGTCTCCTAAGAGGCAATCTTTGTAACTATTTTCCTATGTCTTGGAGAAGCATGGCCTCCCAGGCACAAGTACCAATGTGTAGTGGTTAAGATCACCTCCTGGATCGATCTGCTTATTGTCAAGTGATACCACAACCCCCAACCATCCCCCTCCTTCCTCTCATGTGACTTTGAGTCCTCAGGGCAGGACCTGTCCTCTCTGTCTTTCTGCATCCCGTCTGTGTTGCACAGCAGCTGTTCCTGGTGATGAATGCTATAAAGCAACCTGACTGAGCATGCAGCATCTCCTTGCAGTGTGACTTTGTGTATTCAAGTTCATACAGGGTTTCACTTAACCTTCATAGTCACTCTAGGAGCCAGATATTGTTTACCATTTAACATATGACCAGATAACTCTTAGAGTAGCATTTGAAAATTTGGACATTATCAGAGAAGGTTTGGAGATGTATCCATTCTATTTTGATCTTTTTATTTGATCAGCAACATTTGGGACATAACTTACTAGTTCACATGGTTGCCTTAGTGACTAAGTTTTATGCCACAAAGTTTGACAAAGATCAGGTTTTATTCTTCACATATAGTCATCCATGGAGATTGATGCAGGATCCCCTTGACAAATACCAAAATCCTCAGATACCAAAATTCCTTACATAAAAATGGTGCAGTATTTGAATATAACCTTCATACATCTTCACATAGACTTTAAATCATTTCCAGATTACTTACAATATGCAGTGAAATGCAAATGCCACATAAGTAGTTATGTTAGGTTTTTTAAAAGAATAATGATGAGAAAACAACTGGGGTTGGTTGAGGCCACAGATACAGATCTCATGGATGCAGATGACTGCATTTAGAAATGGGACAGGGGTGTGTGTAACAGCATGTTGTGACTTGTACCAACCTCCAGCCTAAGGCTTGTGGACAGTGACCACATAATCAGGGCTTGTCCATTGACCAGCTCCATGATCAATGCCCACACTGGACAAGTCTGGTAAATTGAAAACTGAAAATGTAAAAGCCAACAAAGAAATCCATTCTTCTTGGCACTCCTAGCGCCCAGGGTATCTATGTGCATGTCTGCCTGCCTTATTCCAAATTCTCGTGCTTATTTGAAATTTAAATTTTTTAAAAAGCTTGCTTTTTTTTTTTTAAATTCAGTGGTTGAATCATGTCTATTTTGGATTTAGTCCATTAAAATGAATAGTTTATCTTCAACTAATTGAGGAGTTTTCATTGAAAGTTTTATATTTCCATGTAGAATAAATATAAAGAAAACTATCAGAACCATATGCGGGGTCACTACGAAGGGGTTGGCATGGACCGACGCACGCTCCATGCTCTCAAAGTTGGCAGCCTGGCCAGTAACGTAAGTACTGTGTTTAAGGGATGGTGGAGTCAGCTGGTTGGGGCATGAAGAATTGAGCCAGTTTGTTTTCAAACTCCCTTTTAAAAAATTTGTCTTCTGGTAGGTAAAGACAGGACCGCCCACCCACTGACCGTACATTTTTAAATGTTATCCAATATAATAAAGGCTATATAAACATTTTTTCAAGCTTCCCTTGGTTTGAAGGACACTTAGATCTGTTGTAGTTGATCTAGTATGATATAAATGTTCAGTTTCTGAAAGATATAGAGAAATGGGTGATTATGGTTTGTATTTGTAACTCTCTGGATTTCTGAAATTTTTGTTGCTTATTTGGAGTTCATTAGTTGACTGAGTTTGTTCAGTTTGAAGACGTACTGTGGCCATATACTGCTCAAGTAGTGGGCTAACCAAATATATCAGGTTGTAACATGGAAACTCTCCTAATCTCTCTTTGACTTTGTCAGTCCATTTCACAGATATGCAAATACCAGGTTGTATATCTTGGAGATAAAGAATGCTTAAAGAAGGCTGATTTCATATTTAAAACATATAAATGCCATATTTCCTTTGTTTGAGGACATCAGATATGACTTTTTGAATTTATTTATTTTTTATTTTATGTGTATGAGTGTATTTCCTGCATGTATGTAAGTGCACCTGTTTCGTGCAATGTCCATTGAGGTCAGAAGAAGGTGTCAGATTCCTCTGGAACTAGAGTTACAGACGGTTGTTAGCTGCCATGTGGGTCTTGGGAATTGAACCTGGGTCCTCTGCAAGAGCAGCCAGTGCTCTTAACCACTGAGCCATATCTCCAGCCCCTCAGATTTGATCTTTAGAAAAATAATTGAAGTACTCTGCAGATTCTTAACTTTTCATTTATTTTCTTGGGATTTGCCACTTTCATTGTATATCCATGTGCAAGTGTTCATTATAAACAAAAATGAGGAGTCCCCCTAATTAAAATGAAAGATAAAATAAATATACTACAGATGGGAGCTGACTAATTTTGGGCTAATTAAGAAGATTTTATTTTTTTTATAAAAGAAGATTTTTAAAGTGTGAATATAATGTAATTTTCCTTTGAGGTGATGAAAGCCAATTAATTTTGTTTCTGGCTATTTCAAAATATTTATAACACTCAAACAAGGTCTAAAGAAATGGGGAGCTGATTTCTGTTTTCTTTGGCTCTCAGGTCGCCTACAAGGCTGATTACAAACATGACATTGTGGACTATAACTACCCTGCCACTCTTACTCCATCCTACCAAACAACGATGAAACTGGTTCCCTTGAAAGATGTGAGTCCTCCACCAAGACCCTGCCAACCCTTTTATTTTATCACCTTTTGCTTCCTTCCTATGAAGCAAGTTTTAGGTAGCAAGATGGGAAGACAGAATCCCATCAATTTATAAGAGAGTGAAGGGGCTGGGAAGGGGGATTTTCCTTCCTCTGGGAAGTTCATGCATGCGTGGTTGGAAACTCAGACTTTCAAAGCAAAATATGAATGATTCTTCTTTTGTCTTGAAAACATTCTAAGATTCAGCTTTTCCTCTTAGAATTTGGAGGGCTATGCTTGCTGGGCACATTTATAATAACTGTTCCATAGCAAGGATGGCCTTAAAAATTTATAGTTGCTGGAGGTGGTGGTGCACACTTTTAATCCCAGCACTTGGAAGACAGAGGCAGGTGACTGTCTCTGTGAGCTCAAGGTCAGTTTGGTCTACATAGTGAGTTCTGGGCCAGCTGGGCCTACAGGGAGACCCTGTCTCAAAAAAAAAATTTATAGTGTAGTAGGTTAAAGATTAAAATAAGCTGGGCATGGTGGCGCATGCCTTTAATCCCAGCACTTGGGAGGCAGAGGCATTCGGATCTCTGTGAGTTCAAGGCCAGCCTGGTCTCCATGGTGAATCCAGCACAGCTGGGGCTACAGGGAGACCCTGTCTCAAAAAGACCAAAAAAAAAAAAAAAAAAAGGAGATTAAAATAAATAAAATAGATATAACTTGAAAGTAAGTGGTAATGTTGACTTAACTTTTTTCCTCAGAAGCATATGGGCAAGTGTAGTTGGTAGATAGACAGATTGATCCCTTAATCATTGTAGCAGTGAGCCTACGTCCCAAACAAAATAACATACCCAATTAAAATTATTGTTTTATGATCACAGGAATCTTATGATACGTTTATCAAAACTTTAAAAAATATAGGGTGTGGTGGCACGTGCCTTTAATCCAGCACTCGGGAGGCAGAGGCAGGCAGATCTCTGTGAGTTCAAGGCCAGCCTGGTCTACATAGTGAGTTCCAGGACAGCTGGAGCTAGAGGGAGAAAATAAAATTTAGAAAATATAGAAAAACATAAAGAAAAAGGTAAAAAAAAATCATCTACTCTCTTAAACATGAGTTGACATCATAGCTCTTAGAGAAGGTGATCTCCAATCAACACTAACAAATAATTCTGCATGTGCTTACTGACTGCCTAGTGCTGCCCACCTTCAGTTCCTTCTGGATCAGCACAGCTCCAGTGATTGATTAGCTGGGTTTTTCCCATTAGTAAACAGAACCTCATTCCTTCTCTCGTTTGCTCAGAGTAGGCATGACGGCAAGAACTGGAAAATGATAGGCAATTGGTTGAATGAGGCTTTGCCAATGGGTACGAAGCAGAAAGACATTAGGAACTAGAAAGACATTAGGGACCAGGACTTTGTGTCTCCTTTTCCCAGGAAGTTTTGTTGGGTTGACTTACTTGTTTCATCTTAAACCCAAACTTAAACTCAGCCACTGCCAAACCTACTTCCTTTATTTTTGGCTCAAAATCCTACTTAGGAAGCTTAGCAATTAAAAGCAAAATTGTGTATATGCGCTTTTGCAGTTGAATTCTAGAAACCAAGCTTAATAAACAGTACAAACAAAATGAGATTGATTTCTACAGCTTGTACTTCCACGGTAACATCTGCGCCTATAGGACTGTCTATCAAACCATGCACCTGAAAACATAGCTAAACCAGAATTCAACCAGATGGAAATAGAAATACTGGGCTCAGAGAGAGTTTCTCAACTGGCAGGAGTTGAGCTATGCACAAGATCAGAAGGGTTTTGTTTGTTTGCTTACTCTTGTCTGTTAGGAGTAAAATTAAACCACTACACAGAAGATGTGAGTTCATGTAAAACATTAATATTTTCATCTTTTCTGAAAAATCTGAAAACTCTGGGAAAAGTGTCCCTAGGTCTTCTATGGGAATAGTTGACTGGGACTGGATAGTGGCAGACCTACAAATGTGTCTTACCCAACTTTCTCTTACTATCCTAACTCTGGTATGCATTTGAGTTTATTATTTCTAGATGTCTTAACATTCCAGAAATTTGGGGAGCTCATTTATTTCAAGAGAGCTTGTGGTCTTAACATCTGCTAGCCTTAAAGGTGGTAAAATAGCTATGAAATTAAATAAAGCTTGGGTAGTTAATTAGAGAGCACTTCTTTGGATGAATCTTTATAAACACTAATAGAATTAAAATGAGACTCTATCTTTAGCATAGAACCCTTTTAGAATGTAGATCGGAGCAGTGGCCAAGCATTTGTGATGCTGCAAAGATGTGATTAATCATGGAGACTGTTAATTATGTCCTGCAGAGAAAAGTAATTATGCTCTGTGACATATTAGTGCAGAATTATCAGGAAGTAATGTGCCATTTAAAAGTATAGTTTTCATGACATTTTATCATACTTCATTTTGAATAAGACTCTATTATGAATTGATAATTTTTTTCCTCTGCCTTAATGCATTAGGACAGTATTCTAATCTCATTAATAGTTGACTTTGAAATGACTTTATGCTTCCTGGTTTTCCCTATACACTCAGGACATACAAAAGCTCTTCTTGAATTATTAAAGAAAAAGCCCCCCCAAATGCTGTCCTTTACCCCAAACACAACAGAATAACTGTGCCAAGCCAGAAGCACTGTTGTGTTTCTACATTCTGTTCTGGAGGTGGGTTTATCAGTCATTTGTTTGTTCTTGGATTATATCACCCTGTCTAACAGATCCAGGCTCAAGGAGCTCTCAATGGGGAGCCCTCTGTTCATCTGTAAGTAATTGTCCCAAACACACCAGGTTTACAAAACACAGACTTGAGAGCACAGCCCAAGTGCCATCTTTTGTGTCAGGTGCCCAAGATGACAATCCAAGCTCTCACCCTTAATGGCTGAGTAAATCACACTAGCTCCCTGTGCTTCAATTTCTACATTGTAAGGTAGGGATAATTATGGGACAGTTCAGAGGATTAAATGTATGAAATGGTCAAATAACAAAGTTGATCAATAAAATTTTTTTAAGGGAGAGATTCATAACCAAGTTCGGGAAGTCCTATTTCTTGGTACTCTGTCTTTAGAAGTTACAAAAGGGTATGGAATTTTAAAGACTGGGAAATTCAAACCAAAGTTCTCTACATTTATTTTAAGAATTATGAAAAAAATTGTATACATTTGTTGTGTACATGCTTTGAAATATGTATACATTGTAAAACAGCTAAATTGAACCTATAAACACATGCACTAAAGAAATTGCAGTAATTTACACAAGAACGTGAATTTATGACTGCTTTGCTGGGACATAAGACCATAGCATGGGAGTTTTCAGTCTTCTGGTTTCTTGAGAATCATCATGTGGCTGGGGAAGCGAGCCAAGCATTATGTTAGCATCTTCCCTTGTCTGTCTTTGCCCAGGTCAACTACAGGCAGAGCATCGATAAGTTGAAGTACAGCTCAGTGACCAACACACCGCAGATTGTTCAAGCCAAAATCAATGCCCAGCAACTGAGTCATGTAAGCAGCCTGCACCTGCCCAGATTCTCAAGCTTGCAGCGAGACTTCTGGATCAGCCAATCCCCAAGGATTTGACTTTATGTCTAATTACAGCCATGAAATGATCCCTCTTTAAAACATTTCTTATAGAGAACATCAAAATATTTAAAAGTAAACAGTACTATATTGAAGACCCCTGTAGCTGCTTTGACAGCTTATACCTACCCACTTCCCCAGCCTCTATTACTTTGAAGAAGATCCCAGATGATTAAATCACTTAACCTATAAATATCTTAGTATGGATCTCTAAAAGTTAAAAAAGAAACATAACTATATAATTTAATATGCCACACCAAAACAGCCTAACAGTAATCCTTACTCTTATTAGTGTCCAAGGTTTGGGGTTAATTTGGGGGCAACATCTTCCTCAGATGGTCCTTGCACTGGAAATCCCCTGTGAGCTTAACTCTTTTGTGCCCATGTGATTTTTAAATTTTTTTAGTTACTATTTTTATGTGTATGAGTGTATTGCTTGCATGTGTGTAAGTTCATCCATGTTGTGCTATGCCCACAGAGTTCAGAAGAGGGCATCAGATTCTCCTGGAACTGGAGTTACAGACAGTTGTTAGCTGCCATATGGGTGTTGGGAATTGAACCCAGGCCCTCTGCAAGGCAGCCAGTGCTCTTGACCACTGAGCCATCTCTCCAGCCATGCACAAGTGATTTTAAGATGTATTTTTAATGTGCGGTTGATAAGTACACATTATCAATTATTATTACTGACAACACTGACTTTTTATTATTGTTGTGTGTCTAGTGTGCACATAGCAGGATGTTTAGCACTGAAGCAGGTTAAAAAATGTCTTGCAAATTCACAAATTTGAATGTGCCTGTGAGTTGTTTTAGTTTGCATTTGACATCTTCAATCTAGTGATTTAATACATTCTGCCAAATTACAGACTTTCTTGCAAAAAAGGCCTTTTCTAGGAATGGCCTCTCAGCAGTGAGTCTCAGGGGAAAGCCAGAAAGACAATGTTCTCCCTAAAGCTCTCCTTCTGTTGTATAAAACCATGCCATGTATCTTAAATACAACAGGTCAATTACCGAGCTGATTATGAGAGAAACAAGCTGAATTACACGTTGCCCCAGGATGTGCCTCAGCTGGTGAAGGCCAAGACCAATGCCGAACTATTTAGTGAGGTGAGAGGGCAGGGTGGGGAGAATACCATGTGGGTTATGGGCCGATGTGAAAAATGAAGATACTGGCATGGTCCAAGTAGTAAGGAGCATTCTGTTTCCAGGAGAGGCTTCTCTCTAAGGCATTCATCATGTTATTTTGAATTTTGTCGTTTCATGACCCATGGTAGCTTATCAGGGATGAATTGGTCATAGAATGTAATTTTCATGATGTGAACACATGTATGATGTGTCAACATGCATAGCCATCATCACTAGTCTTATCAAATGGTAACTGGGTGTGGAGGGAACTCAAAAGCTAAAGTTTCCGAAAGTCTGTTCTAAACTGAGGTAGGTGATGTGATATTAATGTGACTATGACATTACATGATATGATATGATATGATATGATATGATATGATATGATATGATATGATATGGCATGGCATTGTCATAACTCCCCCAGTTTGTGGCATGGGCTTTGATACTGATAGACCTGGCTTCGGGAGTTACATCGGCCTCTTTTAACCTGTGACCCTAGAAGTGTTCTTCATCCTCTCTGAGCCTCAGGATCATGTGAAGATTTGTAGTCTGAATAGAAAGCATTTAGGAAAGGGACCACAAGCAGTGCCATCATACCGTGCAGTATCAGTACGCTACATCCCAGTGGCATTTAACCAGTTTAGGATTTGTTTGCATGCTCCATTTCTAGTTTACTCTCCCAGAAGCCCTGAGAATGATGAATATGCATTTTATAAATGATCAGCTTAAAGAAGTAACTGCCCAAAGTCACATGATTAGGCAATGAGAGAGCCAGGAGGACCGCATCGGTCTTTTCTTTGTCCTGAACCATCTGAGTGGCCCTAAGGGATCAATGAACTGTATTAAAATTACTGCCACCACTTTGATAACAACAGCCGAGACTCTGACCTGCAAATAACTGAAGAAACCAACTTTGCTTTAAAGAAAAGTTCACTTCTACTTTTGGCGGGACACAGATGGCAGCTCCTGTTCACCTGTGTTTTTGTTTGTCAGGTTAAGTACAGAGAAGGCTGGGAGAAGACAAAGGGGAAAGGATTTGAGATGAAGCTGGACGCCATGTCTCTGCTGGCCGCCAAAGCCTCCGGGGAGCTTGCTAGCAATGTAGGTTTCCTCTCATTAACTCAGAAATGTATAAGGAATGATTCTAACCAAATGTCAGCTGTCCTGCTGGAAAAAAATAATGACTGTTAACATTGTAAACATCACAATACTTTAATCTTCTTCTGGACTCATGAAAGACTGGGAGGGTTATTTTTTTCCAGGATTGCTCTTTTTTCACTTGTTAAATCAGAGTCGCTTCCATGACACAGTTACTCTCTGGCTCACGACAGACTTTCTTCTTTCTCTCAAGATTAAATACAAAGAAGAATATGAAAAAACAAAAGGCAAAGCCATGGGAACTACTGACTCGAAGCTTCTGCATTCTCTGCAGGTGGCCAAGATGAGCAGTGAGGTAAAACTCCTCCCCGGCCCCCAGCTTCTAACTTAACAGTTGTGGGGCATTGCTGCCTTTTGATTGACTTCCACCTGCAACTCTTTTCTTGTACAAGAAGTATGTGTGCTTTCTTTATTTTCCCAAAGCATACTTTTCTTTAAAAGTGCACGAGGTGTATGGCCCCGAGGATGACAACATCCGCTGGTTAAGGTACAAAGGTGCTTAGGTATATCTATTTATGCTGCAGATGTTAGGCAGTTACTATGGGTCAAATACTGTCTGAAACTCTGGCTTTGAGAACAAGCTACTCATAGTAAGTTCCTCCCTCATGGACCTTAGCTCAGATGGAAGGGTGTCTAAGTCCATTTTCTGTTGCTATAACAGAGTATTGGAGATGGGTTCTTTATGAAGAAAGAGGTTTATTTTGGCATATCATTATGGAGGCTAGAAAGCCCAAGAATATGCAGTTGTATCTACTAAGGGTCTCATAATGCATAGGTTATAAAGATGTCAAGACAAGTGGTTATATGTGTAAGAGAGAACATGAGAGTGGCTTTGCTTTGTATTAATAACACCCTGCTCTTGTGATAATAAACCCAGTCCCAGGAAGGCTAGCATTAATGTTTTCATGAGAACGCTGTCCCAATGACACAAATACCCCCACTTGGCTCCGTCGCCACCATCACTATCACCATCAGCATCACTGCCACTACCACCACCTACTATATTAAGGAACTAAGCATTAACATGAATTTCAGTGGGAGAAAATCACATCCAAACCATTGCCTAATCATAGCAGTAAGCATATAGCTCATTATCTGTGGTCACACACACATGGTAATCCAAATGTTTATCAAACGACTGGGGCATCCCAGGCTTCAGCCTATATGAATATTGTTGCTTGTAAATAACTGTAATGTCTTGAGATTGACCTTGGTTAATGTCACTCAGCAAGGCAAGGATGGGTTGGTGGGAGGGGAGAGTTCAGCCAGAAGGGACACCTGTGATTTTCAGTAATTCCTTCCCTGCCAATGCAGAGCAGGCATGAAGGACACATGACCTTTGAGTTCTTGATTTATACTTCCTGTTCCAAGCTGTGAGGCAGCTTATGCAGGTCTGCTGGCACAGTGAACATAATTATCTGACAGGTCATTAAGAGACTTTGACTTGAGTGAACTTAGGGAGCTGGCATCGATTTGAATGCGTCATTGCTGGGGGTTCGAGCCAGCGACCCCCTGCGCAGTGCTGATTAGGGATGAGTAAGCCGCCCCCAGTACCGGGGACAATCAGATGCAATGGGGAGCTTAGTCCAGCAGGGACTCACTTATTGCAGGTGTTGCAGAGCTTACAAAGGCACCTGGAAATGCCCCCCCCCCCAGGGTGTATCTTAAGGATGGTCACGCGCTGATCACGCACTCCTCAGCAGTGCAGAAGTATCCTTCGGACTTTTAAAACAAGTCAGGCCGTGCCCCAATAACTTCTTCTCGGACCTCTGCAAGGTGGGGCCTTTAGGTTCCCACAAGTCATAAAATATGTCTTTTAAAAATAAAAATTATGGGGGCTGGAGAGATGGCTCAGCGGTTAAGCGCACTGACTGCTCTTGCAGAGGACCCAGGTTTTATTCCCAGCACCTACATGGCGGCTACAAACCGTCCTTAACTCAAATTCCAGGGAAATCCAAAGCCCTCTTCTGACCTCCATGGCAATGCTGACACGGGTGCACTCACATACATGCAGGCAATACACTCATACACATAAAAATAAAAATAATAAAATGTTTAAAAAAACTGTAAAAAAAAATTGTGTGTGTTTTGCCTGCATGTATGTAAGTGCATCACATCTGTGCAATGCTTGTGAAAGTCAGAAGAAGGTATCAGATCCCCCAGAACTGGCATTATTGAAGGTTGTTAGCCACAATGTAGGTGCTGGGAACTGAACCTGGGTCCTCTACATGAGCAGTGGGTGCTGTTAAAACTGCTGGGCTGTCTTTCCAGCGTGAATTCGTCTTATGAAATACATAGTCACGAAGCATAAAGAGACAGTGAGAATCGGACTTCAATTTAAAAGGACAACAAACTGCCACCTTATCTAACATCATGACCACCGTCATCCCCACCACCGTCAGTTATCATCGTTGTTCATCATTACTGCCATCACCGTCATCACTGGATTCTTATCACTAACATGTATTGTTTGCATTTCACAGTTCCTACTCTAAGCACAATTCTGCTACTATTTCAATATTCATCGTAACAGTTCTCTTGAGGAAAACGAGCCCCATGGAGATGATGGAACTTTCTAGAGGTTTCTGAGCTGGCAAAAGGCAGATTAGGTTTGAACATAGACATGTCTGGCTCTCTGCAGCCTGTGTTTTGTTGTTCTCTGTCTTAATGCCTCTGTAGAAAGCATGCATAGTGCCCTTCTCCCAAAGCAGCCAATGCCAGGAGTTAAGAATGGTGACAGGAGACAAGATGGCAGGGAACAGCACTATTACAGCTCCCTGGTGACCCTGGTTGCAGAGCCAGGCCTCTGTCTACCTTTCTGACAGACAGGTGGCCTTGCCCAGAGTGATGATTACTTTTGAAAGCCTGAGCTTTGCCTATTTCCACATCAGTCCTCAAGAATAGCCTTTAGCCAATGATCCTTGTTTTGGTGCACTCAAGGTTGAGTACAAGAAAGGCTTTGAAGAGAGTAAGACCCACTTCCACTTGCCCATGGACATGGTCAACCTCAGGCACGCTAAGAAGGCCCAAGCTCTTGCCAGTGACCTGGACTACAGGCAGAAACTGCATGAATATACTGTGTTGCCTGAAGACATGAAGACTCAGTGGGCCAAGAAAGCCTATGGGCTCCAGAGCGAGGTGAGTGCTCACTGGCTGCTCATTCTCCCCGTGCATCTTGTCATTGGATTTGGTCTTGGGTGATTTTGAACCTGTGCACAAGTCTGTTTCATAACTCAGAGGACTGGGAAGAGCTAAAGATGTGCCAGGTCCAGGGAAGACAGATACAGGGGAAAAGTCAAGACAGTAGAGGATGGGGCTAGGGCTCAGAGCCAGTGTGAAAGTCAAGATGTACTGGTAATGGGCATGAGCAAAGGGAAGCAAATGTTAGAAATGTTGCTCAGAAATACAAAAGACATTCTTTTACGTCAGGCTGTGGTGTTTTGGCGCCAAGATAGAGCATGGTATTCGTAGTCACAAGGAGGATCCAGTGACTTCGCCTTCTAAAGAAAGACCTGTTTGCTGCACAATAGGAGGGAGCAGTTTTCTGGGAAGACAAATCTAGATTTTTCCTGACTTTTCTGTCAATTCTTTTTTTTCTTCCTGTCTGAGCTTGGTGACATTCTCTTACAGCTGCAGTACAAGGCTGACCTGGCATGGATGAAGGGAGTTGGGTGGCTGACTGAAGGGAGTCTCAACCTAGAACAGGCCAAGAAAGCTGGGCAGCTGGTCAGCGAGGTAATCTGAGTGTCTGTCCCTGACCTCCAAATGATTCTCAACCCCTGAGTCACTGGGACTCTGATTCCCTCTTCGCTCTTTCTGGGACTTTATTTTGGATGTGAATTAAAGAGTAGGATGTTACTTCATGTTTGTACCTGTAATGTACCCTAAGACTAACTTCCCATACCCTTAAACTTCCTGGAGGAGGCATTTTTTGGTGTTTGGTTTTGGTTTTCTTGACACAAGTCTCCTTTCATAACTCAAACAGGCCTTGAACTCCAGATCATCCTGTATCTGCCTCCCAAGTACTGGTATTTCAGTAGTGTGTCACCATGCCCAGCTCTGTGGAGGTATTTTTAAGAAGCCTACCAATTTCCTTTAAGAAGCAGTTTCATCCACAGAGTAATTTGGTATAGAAAGATTTTACTAATGGAGTATCTGAAAAATCTAATACCCCAAATGTTCTGAAATCCCAAATACTTTGAACAGCTTGACTTTACAAGTAGACAATTTTATACCAGGAAATTTTACTTCATGCACAAAATTATTGAAAATATTACCTAAAATTACCTTGAAGTATATCAAATGTATATCAAATGTAAATGAATTTAGGTTTGCGTCTCATGCCCAAGATAGCTCATTGTGTAAAAATATTCCAAAATTTAAAATATCTAAAATCTGAAAAACTTGCTATCCCTAGAAATCAATCTGTGATGTCTGTCTTGGGCAAAGAAAGTGGATTCTTTGTGAACCAGAGTCTGGTATTTGGAGTAAGTGTTCTCCACAGCCACCTCAGATGTGGGGCAAACCATTAAACTTGTAGACCCTCTCCTCATACGACATGAGAAGATGGAATAGGAGCCCCTGTGGTTCTCATCCTGTGTATCTCTTTATGCTGTGGGAAGCTGATTTGGCAGCAAGCAGGGGAGGACTTTTGAAGGACATTTCATTTGGACGTGTGATTATTTCAGAAACTTTGAGATCTTCAAAGGGGATTCTTGTTTCTGGGCCAGGAAGGCTGAGTCAGTATATCCCTTACAAAGGTTAATATTACTGATAAAATAGCCACCATTTACAGACCAATAATAATTTAGTCACTGATGTAGCTGATTGATCATTTTGAGTGTGTTAATTAATGCTGCTATTTATTGGACATAATGGTCCTGTGTAAACAGATACTGTGATTACCGTATTTTTGTTCCCATTTTATACACAAGGAAAGTGAGACTTAAGTCACTTTTCACATCAGCAACAGACCCACAATCTGTGCTCAGTGTGTAACCCAGTGCCCCCTGAGGAATGTCACATCCCCAAAACGTGTTTTGAAATGTATTCTCATTTTCCCATCTTACTAACTCTTCTCTTAAAGATTCATTTAGGTTTAAATATATGTAAGCAAGGAAAGCAGAGAGAAAAGAATAATACCTTGAGGCTCCTATTACTTTCTGAGAACTATTGAGACCCAGGTAGAGCAGCAAAAATTCCATCTTGGGTCAAGATACAGTGGGGAAGAGGTTTCAGCCTCAGGAATGTGGGTGTCTCTCTCTCCTCTGTGCTGACTACTATTTTTTAAGCTCCTTGAGGACCAGGGGGATTTATTTCCTTCACATTTTTTATTTTGTATGTTAGAATAGATTCTTGGCTCTAAAATAAGTACTCATGGTCTGACGAGTGCTGATTCTGGGAACTTCCAACAATGGAAGGGTGTATGACTTCCTTTATTTAATTGTGTGGCAAATGAGCTTTTCCATTCAATACAGGAAATAGGGAGGAACCTTAACAATCTCTTTGGAATATTTTCTTTAGAATTGTGTGTGTGTATGTCTGTGTGTGTGTGTGTGTGTGTGTGTGTGTGTGTGTGTGTGTGTTTGAGGAGTATGTGACTCCTTTTGAATCAGACTCTGATATTTGCAGGGAATCTTCTCTTCCTTCTGACTATGTCCTCCTCTTAAAAGAAGAAATTGTAGGTGCCTACTATTCCCTTCACTGTTTTGTATTCAGTTGGTACTATAACTGGTCTTGGTGATGTCTCTGGAAGTTTGACGTCACCAGCCTGTGAGCTCATCTCTGAGCTCAATATCTCATGAAGCTTTTGCCTCAGCACACCATTCACAGAGGCTACCTTTTCCATCCACTTTGGTAGCTCCAGTGGAAAAGCCAGAGGAAATAATCTTCAGGAAAGATGAGAAGTCCCTGTGGGGACAGAATTAACACATTTGTGAAGTTGCCAATCTGCCTGTGGGAGAGGGATACAAGGAAATCAGACCTTGGTGATCTGAAAATGAGAAATAGAGAATCAAATATAACCTCTGGCCTTCTGGTTGTGGCTTTGGGTATTCCTCCTTCCTTAGAGCTGGTGCTTTTTGGATAATCTTGGGGACACCATGGATAATGGTGATAGAGAGGCACTAGCCACTGTGCCAAGTTCTTGGCTCACACAGAAAGTATAGCACTAAAGCATCCTCTCCACTTCAGAGTGAAGGGGCTTCCATCATTTTCCTCATTGCACAGTCGAAGCAAGAGAGTCTCAAGTCTGTTCAGCGACATAGCAAGTTGGGAGAAGGCAAAGAGGCGGAGGGGAGACGTAAACCTCTGCCTTTATCATTGTAGCGTCCAAACTTCCCCTACTTCACCCTCCAATGTCAGACCTAGACTTGTAAAATAGACACATCCCATTGCACACAGTGAAACACAGGGTTTTCTGAGGAGAAACATTAAAGTTCCCATTCAGTAACAGTAGAAAAACAGGCTCATAGGAGGCAGAAGTGGGAGGATCACTGGGGCTCACTGGCCTGCCAGTATTGCAGAGTTGGCAAGCTCCAGGTTCAGTGAGAGGTCCTGTCTCAAAATATAAGGTGGAAAGTGACCAAGGAAGGCACTCAAAGTTGACCCCGGCCTCCACACACATATGTACACACTTATATGTGTACTCATACATGCACATACATACATACACACACACACACAGACACACACACACACACACACACACAAAACAAGCTCATCAAAGCAGCCTGACATAGGACTGCATGGTTCTGTTTTAGGTGTAGGATTCATGAGAACATTCTTCCCAAAGAAATACTTGGGCCATAAAAAGTGGGTATGTGTCTGTGCATTAGTCTGGGGCAGCCCCATCCTAATGCTTTGGTGTCCCTATTCTTTGGAAATAGAAAAACTATCGGCAGAGGGTTGATGAACTGAAGTTTACCAGTGTGACTGACAGCTCCCAGATGGAACATGCCAGGAAGAGCCAGGAGCTGCAGAGTGGGGTGAGTCCTGGGTTGCCCTCTCTCTACCAAGCTGCTGTGTCATGGGCCTGGGAACCTTTGGAGGCAACAGCAGCTGCTGCCCAGCCACGGTCCAGGAATCAAAGAGCCATTCCCTTAAGTAGGCTGGACCTGACGTGCCTCAGGCCTCTAGACTCTCTGAAGCCAGACACTAGCTCCCTGCTCTGCCCATGCTGATTCTTCCCCAGTTACTAACCTAGATACAGAACTGACTTTATTCCTTGTTTGCTGCCACTATCCTGTAATTCCCCCTTTCTCTTTTTCTAACTTTCACCCAAGACTATAATAATGGATTAACTGATAATTATGTTGGAGGAAAGATTTGCCGATGACTCTGTGCCAATTGAGTTCAGTTCAAATATGGAAGGCAGAGCAACAAGGTGTCTGTCATTTGTATTTCTTACAAATTGGTGTTCAGCCCAGAGCCGTACTCTTGTTGCCACAGTCTGGCCTTTCTACCTTTCCTTCCTGAAGGTCCAGAAGATGCTACATGCCCTTCAGAAAGGATGCTATCAACACAACTTAGAATCAGCAGGAAAAGACTGACTGTTTGGAAACTCAAGTTGAGAG